TACGACCGGTTGGGGGTCGCGGCATTAAAAAGGTTGAGAACCACTGCTCTATGGCAGGGCTTTTCAACCTTTTTATCGATTATACCACTTTTAGGATATGGCAATATTCGAGTACCACCTAGCAACATGTCAAAAACTTGATGACCAAAAAAAAAAAAAAACTCTGTTCAAAGTTGCAATTGCACTGAAATGACTTATGACCATTTTTCACACTTATGACCATTGCAGCATGCCCAGGGTCATGTGATTTATATTTGGATGCTTGGCAACTGATTCATATTTATAATGGTCACAGTGTTCCAGGGTCATGTGATCCCCTTTCTGCAACCTTTTGACAAGCAAAGTCAATGGCAGAGCTGCTGGTGGCCAAGTGCTAAGGCGGGACTTCCTTTCCTCCCTCCCTTCCCTGCCTCCCTTTTTCTCATACCCATCTCTTTCTGAAGGAAGAATTTGAAACCCCCCCCCCACCATATTCTCCCTCTTCCATATATTGATCAAACAAGGAAAGGCCTCCAGAGACAGAAAAGACAAGCTGCTGAGTGAACTAGCTTAAAAAAGCACATTTCCCTTTAAGAATTAGCTACTGGCTAGAAAGGAAAGTAAGGAATGCAGCTGGCACTTAAGGAAGAAAAAAAAGTACTGGCTGCCGGCTAAGGCAACCTCCCCAAATGGCTCCATTCATAAGTAAAGGAATGCTACAGGCAAAATCCATTCAGGAGAAAAATACTTCAAAATCCCTTGCAGCAAAACTTACAGCTAACAACAGCAGAGCAATAGAAGCTAACACCAACCATCAGCCAAATTGAAATTGCCAAACACTCCTTAAGAACACAAAGCCCTCGTTGCACAAATTCCAGAACTTCAAAGTCACAAAAGCACATAAGAATCCTTCCACTCCCCATCTCCTTCCCTTCTCCGTGCCTTACCTCCAGCCATTGCTGCCTTTTTTTCATTCCTCTTGGAGGGCAACCCCTCCCCCACTGCATTTCTTGCCTGTTTGCTGCTGCCAGCACAGGTGGCTGCCACAGCAGTTGTAGATCGGCTCATGGCCAGCCTGTTTGATCTCCTCTCCCCCCCCCCCACCTTCTTCCCCTTCGGTGCAGCTGACTGCCTCCTTCCAAGGCTGCTGCTTTTTTTCTCTCTCCCTCTCCTGCCCAAACTGCCTCCTTTTATAGGCTCTCCTGTCTCCGCCCACCTTCTCCTTTCTCATGGGGGAGATTGAGCCAGAAGTGAGCCTGGGGCCTTTGCCTCGCCCCAGCCACTCTGCAGCTCCAGAGGACTCTCTCACAATAAGTCCTTGCCTGTGCTGGCTCTTTCCCTCCCCCACAACACTTGGCTAGGCAGGGCTGCGTACCACCTGCCACTCATTAATGTACCACAAGTGGTACGCGTACCACCGGTTGAAAAGCCCTGCTCTATGGTATACTTGATGGTAATGGGTTAGTCCTATTATGTCCCAAAAGTCATATCCTGCTTCCCTGGTGATGGGGCTAATGATTCCTAGAGTTTGGGTGGGGTATGCAGATTTTAAGTATCTTCTTGAGTTCTCTGGCTCCAACTTTCTGATGGTTTTACATTTGCATTGGTATAGGGCTGGCTACTGCTTGGGGACAGAGAGATTTGGGGCCAGGTTTGGTTTCTGCTTTTAAAAATCCTTTTGAGGAAAAATATATATTTTTCTGCCCTTTTAATATTTCCTCCTCTGGGGGGCTCTGACTTCCCACAATCTGGTAAATATGTGTCTCTGGGACTACTTGCTACTGCAAAAGAGATGATCAATTGCTGCATACTGTGGGAAGTCAGCGCCCCAGAGAAGGAAATATTAAAAGGGCAGGAAAATATATTCTTCCTCAAAAGGATTTTAAAAAGCAGAAACCTACCCTGCCCCCAAGTCTCTCTGTCCCAAGCAGAAGCCAGCTCTATACAAATGCAAATGTAACCCATCAGAAAGGCCCCAGCTAGGAGATCAAGAAGAAAGACAAAGACCTAAAATCTGCCTACCCCACCTGAGACAGGACATGATAGGATTAACTCACAAAGGCCAGAGAGGCATACCTAAATTCAGGTCAGACTACTTGACACAGGAAATAGCCCCAAAGTTCATGCCACAGGAACAGGAAACTATTCCAAACAAAAGGCGAGAGATGGTATAAAAACCTTCTACCCACATGTGCTCAGCCTTTTTTTTTCCCCTCTCCTCTTTCCTGCCAGAACTATCTTTCTGTCTGGCTCTTCAATAAACTGCAACCTTCTTCCCAAAGCAGTCGCCATGTTGCTTATTTATCCCCGGCTCGGATGAACCAGGATGAAGACTTTAATCCATCAATACTGTGTGTGTTCAATTTGTTTTCCTTTTCCTTGGAGCCCAAGGAGGGGAAGGGAAATCTTTATAGAAAACCAATTTGGTTTCAGGGTTATAGCCACAGGGTGCAAGGCTGGATTTGAGTTCAAATCCTACTTTGGCCATGAGGGATGGCTGAATGTTTTGGGGCTGGTTTATTTTTGTTCAGCCCTAGGAGGGAAGTTTTGGCAAGCCAGTTCTGTAAGTGTTATGGCAATTTTCCTGCTGTTTAATGCTTTAAGGACAGCTCTCTGAAAGCAAAAGTTCGGTATAAATCAGTGGTTCTCAACCTGTGGGCCGCGACCCCATTTGGGGTCAAACGACCATTTCATGGGGGTCGCCAAACAATGCAGTCCGCCATTTTTTCCCCCTTTTCCTTAGCTGTGCTACTCCCTTCTATTCTATTGGCTTTCTTGAATAGAGTCTAATTCTATTGGCTTTCAAAAGCCAATAGGAATTGTCCAGGCTGTCTCTGCCCTGCTGAGCCCACCAAAAGTCCCATTCTGCAAACGGTGCTGCTGCACCAGTTGAGTAGTCCTCGACTTACGATCGGTTGGGGATCGCAGCATTAAAGAGGTTGAGAACCACTGGTATAAATTTTTACTCTGGTGAATGGGGGAAGAGGGAGACAATCTTTTGTCTTCTTAGCTATCCTGTTGTTCTTTGATGTGCTGCCACAAGAGTGATCTGAATATTATCTGACTGGAATGGATAGTGGATCAGAACCCCTACATATTTTGAATATCTCTATTAGAATTTCAGGTGAAATATAGTAAAGAAATACTTTACATACTTGATCCATACTTTTGGTTGTGTTTGTGGATGTCCATATGGCTTCTAGACGTTCCAGGATGACCTCCACTATAAATCCTGAATTGGCTCGTTTGTCTCTTTAACTTGTTAGTAGATTTGGCCATCGGTATTTCCACAAATACAACTTACTAAAGAAGAAAACAACAACTCGCTACGCTTCCTAAGACATCCTGATCAGCGGAAACCACAGTGGATCACATTTTTCCTTCTTGTAGGATTTTATAAAATATACAAAATATTTCACGAGGAAGTCAGGATCAAGTAGTCGTGACGGGATGGAGCTCATAAGTGCAAAATCAGAAGAAGGAAGGAAGAAAAGAGAATCAGAAATGGATGGCTTGGTTACTCTAGCCCAGTGATTCTCAACCTTTCTAATGCCGTCACCCCATAATACAGTTCCCCATGTTGTGGTGACCCCCAAGTGGGTGTGGCCACCAATAAGAGGGAGTAGGACGGCTAGGGAAAAGGGAACAAAATGGCGGACAGCATGGTTTGGTGATCCCCGTGAAATGGTCATTTGACCCCAAATGGGGTCCCGACCCACAGGTTGAGAACCACCGCTCTAGCCTGAAGTCTCTTTCCTTCTCTTATGTGATGCCTTAATTTTTTCCTGATTCCTATAGTTCATTCTGGACTGACTTACCACAATTCGGACCGGATTCTTGGTTGTTCTGTGAAGCGGTCATTGAGATGTGACTTGGCTGCTTTGCTCAAACATTGCAATCCTGCGCTCATGGGCCTGGTTGGTGAGCAATTTCACGGGTCATTAAGCAGACAAAGTCTCAGGTAAGGAATCTGGGGTTGCCTTAAGTGGGCAGGAGAGGCCATGTGAGTGCCAACAGAGGTCAAGGGTGAGTTGAGAGGTCCTGAAGAAGGTTAGAGGTGCTTTGGGACACGTTGCTTAGCAACAGTATGGATCGTGCATCTTGGAGAATGGCACAAGGCACAAAGTCTTGGGATTAAGACCTCATTTCTCAGTGTCAATGGTGACACTGGGCTGAAGTCCAGTCCTGGGGTCAGTGGCAGCTGGCTGAAACTGCTGATGGCCCCAGGCTTCCACTTAAGACACATCCCAGCATTGCTGTCAATTAGGGCTGCTTTGCATGGCCAGGCTCCGGCTTTAGTAGCCCCCCAATTTAAGGATAGCCTGTGCCTGGTCTGCAGACCCTCCCCCACTCCCGGAAACCCCCACGAACATTGCCTGGGCCTTCCCCCACTTAAGAACCCTCAAGATAACTTAATGATTACAATCGCGAGTATGGGTTTACGATTGAAGAGTGCAATGCTCAGGTGGCACCTCACCTAACCACTGCTTCACGGAACAACCGAAATTCCAGTTCTTAAGTTGAGGACATCTAAGTTGAGGACATCTTTCCTACAGATGTAGGCCATCCATCACTTTCTCTCGGGTGTACTGGGGACCCTACCCTGGGCAGAGGGTGGGACTGGAAGACCTTCAAGGTCCCTTCCAAGAATGAGATTTTGTGATTCTCTGCATGTCACGAAAGGAAATATTATTCTCGATTTCTTTTTCATTCTAACAGCAGATAAAAGATTGTGAACAAAGATTCACCTGCAAGTCAACTATCAACAGATAAGAGAAAATCAGCACAAGGCAGCAGTCGCCAGAACTCATGGAGGGCGGGAAACTTTTGGATCCCCCGTCAGACACTCCGGAAAACCAGGAAAGAACCCATGAATGCTCAGAGTGTGGGAAATCCTTTGCTCGCAGGTCCCTCCTTTTGACCCACAGGGAGGTCCATGTGGGAAGCGGATCCAGTGAAGGTTTGGAGGGTGAGAAATCCTTTTTTGGAAATGGTGCCAAAGATCTCAGATGCCCCCCCAGACTAAAGCCCTATAAATGTGAGGAATGTGACTTATGCTTTGGTCAAAAGTCAAACCTTCTTACACATCAGAAAATCCACACTGGAGAGAAACCTTTTCAATGTCTGGAGTGTGGGAATTTTTTCCGTGACAAAGCCACCCTCAGGAACCACGAGAGAATTCACACAGGGGAGAAACCTTACATGTGTTGGGAATGTGGGAAGAGCTTTTCTCGGAATTCGTATCTTTGGCGCCACGAGAAGGTTCATGCAGGAATAAAACCTTACAAATGCTTTGAGTGTGGGAAATGTTTCACCCAGAGTTCAGGTCTATGGGGTCATGAGAAAACACACAGAAGGGAGAAAAAGGAAAAGTGCCTCGAATGCGGGAAATGTTTTACCTTGAAATCAAATCTGGTCCAACATCAGAGAATTCACACTGGCGAGAGACCCTATGAATGCCCAGAATGTGGGAGACGATTTACGTATTCTGCTGGACTTCAGGCACACCAGAAGAGGCACAAAGGAGAGAAACCCTATCAATGTGGGGAGTGTGAGAAAAAATTTCTTACTCGAACAGAGTTTCAGAAACATGAGAGGATCCACACAGGGGAGAAGCCTTTCAAATGTGGGGAATGTGGGAAATGCTTTTCCCAAAAACAACACCTTGTAAAACATCAGAGGCTCCACACAGGAGAGAAGCCGTACAGATGCCTAGAATGTGGGAAATTGTTTGCTTATCAGGAAGTACTTTGGAGACATCATAAAACCCACACAGGGGAGAAGCCATATCAATGCTTCGAATGTGGACAATTCTTTTGTACCGCACCAACCCTTAGAAGTCATGTGAAAACTCACACAGGGGAAAGAAATTACAAATGTTTAGACTGTGGGAAAGCATTTGTTCATTCATATTACCTTAGAAACCATAGCCGAATCCATACAGGTGAGAAGCCTTATAAATGCTCGGAGTGCGATAAATGTTTTTCTCAAAAAGGTACTCTTGTGAGACATCAGCGAATCCACACTGGAGAGAAACCATATAAATGTCCAGAGTGTGGGAAATGTTTTGCCCAGATTTCATCACTTCGCAAGCACACCAGAAGTCACACAAGGGAGTCACCTTACAAATGTGCACTGTGTGAGGAAACTTTTCATTTTCAATCTCAGCTAAAAAGGCATCAGGAAGTCCATAGCAAAGATAAACCCCTTCAGTTGTGAAGAATGAGGGAAACATTTTTTTTTTCCAAAAGTCACATCTTAACGTTCACCAGGAACTTCACACAGTGACAGAAGGGAAATCCTACAATTGTTTGGTGTGGGGAAAATGTTTTTCCTAGTCACATTGCGTTAAATACAATCGGGGAGTACACAATCAAGCAAACATGCATAAATGTGGGGAGTGTAAGGAGGTTTGGCTGACAAAACAGCCGCATTGATAACTTACCAGAGTGAAAAAGAAAAGCGTTACAAGTGTTGGGGAGATGTAGATTATGTTTTGCAAAGCAAAGCTAGTCCTCAATTTACGATTGCCTTTTGAAACAGATTCCCAGTCATCGCTTTTATTGTGGCATCCATTTGACCGGATCAGATTTTATGACATTTTTGTGGTCAATAAGCAATAAGCAGTCCTAGGTATAAAGCCATTTTTCCAAATTTGTATTTTCTGCAAAAAAAAAAAAAAAAAGGCAAATTGTGAGCCGATGGCTGCAAAATGATGGAACTTGTCGCAAAAGCCAGCTGGTTGCCAAGTGCTCATAATTTGGGGGAGGGCAACATTTTACAATATCCAGAACTGGTTTATGGGCCATCAATGCTTGCTGTAAGTTGAGGACTATCTGTAATGAAACCCTGGATCATTCGCAAAAGAGGGTCTGTTGTATAAATGCTTAGAAAGTTGCAAACTACTGATTTCACTGGGATCTCTGGGGGCCCCGAATGGATCCACAAGAGAAAGAAGTTATCCATTTGGTGTGTGAGAAATATTTTCCTGGAGTGTCTACCTGGGTCTGCAGGTAAAAATGCCTGGAAGAGAAACCCTCCAGGTGCTCAGACTACTGGACACTCTTTCCGGGTGACAAACCGCATCAGAGCTTGGTGTGTGGAAAATCTGTTCCTTGAAATGAGACAGTGGTTGTCATACATCTTTCAGTCCCCACAGCACAGAGAGAAAGCCTAGAAATCTTTGTAGCATAGAAAACGTTTTATCCTGAAATAGTTTCAAAAAACAAAGTGGGCCATAATTGTGGTAAAGTGAAGAAAAAAACAACTCCCTGGAACAAGTGTTACTAAATAAAGGGATCATTTAAATTACATTTAAATTCTTTTATGAATATTTTTGTTCTTTTATTGTGATATTATTGTTCATATACCATGTTACATTAAATCAGGGATAGGCAACATTGGCTCTTTTATGACTCGTGGACTACAACTCCCAGAATTCCTGAGCCAGCTCCGGAATTCTGGGAGTTGAAGTCCACAAGTCATAAAAGAGCCAACGTTGCCTACCCCTGCATTAAATACTTTTCTTGCTTATTTCTACCAATCTGGAGTCAATTACTCTATTTTCCATAAAGATATCACTTCAAACAGTCTCAGTTTAATACCATGTTTTTGTGGGATTCATTATTAGCTTCACTAAACGAGTCCTACCTTAAGTCATCACTTGCCCTGAACGTTGGTTAATTGTCTGCTCCTCTGTCCTCCACGAAATGGCATCTGATCCGCAGTCCAACACAGCATAATTTCCTAGCTGTGTTTGTTTGGAAGTGATCCTTCCTCTCTTGTTCCCATAGAAATATCCTTTATGATGTAGTTGCTGATGTGCCCAGAAGCTGGGATCTGCCTGATTGGCTACTTATGGGGGCTCCCGCCTCCTCCAAGCCCAGGGCTGGGGCCCCTGTGAGCATCTTGATCCAGACACCTGATTCCCCAGAGGCACCTGATGCTTATTAGGTCTTATGGAAGTTCTTTCCCTTTATGGATTTAAGGCTCTTTGGGAAGAAGGTCCAGTACTGGACTGCACGGAAGGTCAAGACAAACTAGGAAAAAGGCCTTTGTGCCGGTTTCATGCTGCCAATTCCTCCCCCACGTGCATTTGTGAGCATTCAGCTCCTTCCGCCCACAAAGGGGGCTTCATTATTCCTGGTCCTTCCTGTGGGGGTCTCTGGCATCTTCCTCTCTCAGCTCAAGTGAGAGTGGCTGAGTTTGGATCAGTCCCCCCTTTCAGCCAAAAACTCAAGGCACAGCGAGAGAGACAGAGACACACACACACAGACAGAGCCATGGGATGGGCAACCATCAACCTGCATCCATTTGAAGTTACAATAGACCCCCCCAGACACAAAATGTACTTTATGACCCAAATCCATAATGGGTCATCAGCCTGGTACCATTTGAAGTTTACAACAGACTCCACCCTCAAAAGGTATTTATGACCTGGATCCATGAGGGGCAGAGATTTGCTTCAGGTTAAAAGTCGAGGAACCCCCTATACCAGGGCTAGGCAACCTTGGCTCTTTTACGACTTGTGGACTTCAACTCCCAGAATTCCTGAGCCAACATGGCTCAGCTTGGAAACCTCTCCCTTTCCCCTCAGCGTGGCTGGCTCAGGAATTCTGGGAGTTGAACTACTCTCTTAATGGCGTGTATATACTCTAATCCAGGGGTAGGCAACCTTGGCTCTTTTATGACTCGTGGACTTCAACTCCCAGAATTCCTGAGACAGCATGGCTCAGCTTGGAAACCTCTCCCTTTCTCCTCAGCATGGCTGGCTCAGGAATTCTGGGAGTTGAAGTCCAGGAGTCATAAAAGAGCCAAGGTAGCCTACCCCTGCCCTAGACTTATTTATATTTATTTATTATTAAATATCACATTTATTTGCCTTGTTGTAAAACATCCATTCATTTGACTTTGTCCACCCTCTGAAAAGAGGTTCACAATCCTAAAGCCGAAATCAAGAAAACCAAAACAACCAGGCACCTGAGACACACCCCATCTCCAAATCCTCCAGTCCCAGCCTTTCCCTGTCCCAGGACCTGGGGGAGGGGAAGAGCCCTCTGCAGCTTTCCAAAAGGCTAGAAGAGTTGGGGGCCTGCAGGGTCCCCCAGAAAAAGGTCTTCCACAGGGCAGGGGCTGCAACAGAAAAGTCACACTTCCTGGGTCCCGCTAGAAGGCAGATTGTAACAGGAACTGGGTAAATTATCAGTTTTATAACAATATGTCTCCCCTTCTTTAGCTGCTTGTCGCAAGTGAGCAAAGGGCCCTGCCAGCCACACTAACCTCAAACAAGTTCTGGTCTTAAACCTGGATTTGAATTCTTACATTCGTCCTTGAGCACAGGCTGATTTTCATAGAAATGCACCCTCCTCAAAGCACGCGCGTGTGTCTGACATGGACATTGATGCATGCCTGTATACATCCATATCCGTTTTTCTCAACCGTGACAATTTTAAGATGTGTGGATTTCAACTCCCAGAATTGCCCAGCCAGCATGAATTCTGGGAGCTGAAGTCCACACATCTCTGATAAAGAGACTAAAATTATAATGATGATTATTATGAAAAGCTAAAAGATTTAAATCAGAAGGTATACTGTATATAACAGGTAGGCAACCGTGGCTCTTTTATGACTCGTGGACTTCAACTCCCAGAATTCCTGAGCCAGCGGGGTTCAGCTTGGAAACCTCTCCCTTTCCCCTCAGCATGGCTGGCTCAGGAATTCTGGGAGTTGAAGTCCACAAGTCATAAAACAGCCTGCCTACCCCTGGCTATATAACAATAAGAGTCTAAAAACAACCTAAGAGGGCTAGGAGCATGAGAAGGATGTATGGGAGCATAAAGGAAAGTACATGGCAAACCATTTCTATTCAGCTACAGAGTATTTTATATGACAAACTAGATGTTAGTCTAGTTCACGGCACAGATCATTACGTGATAAATCTTAAGTGTTACTGCACAGATCCTGACAATGTCATCTGTGGGTATCTGAAAGCAGTAGGGAGGTGTGAAATTGGAGTGATAGGGATATGAGGCTGGTAAAAATGTCTGTACACGTTTGCATATGGAACTACTGGAGACAATAACTTGAAAGCAAAGCGTTTATTCACGTATTTGCAAACATGGGTGCACACCCAGAATGAAGCATATATCAGTTTTTTATCCCCTTACACAAGTCCACCCCCCCTTCCCGTTTGACACAGCATCCTATCAAAAGTCATCTACCTTATATGGTTCATGCTTTCCCCCCCCCCAAGACACCCCCTATACCTGTGTTACTTCGTCTGTTTAACACTTTAACCACCACCTAGTTCTTGCTAGTATAAGCCTTATTTTTATTTCTGTACTTCCTCTGCTTGCGGTTTCTGCCAACATTTAGCTGTGAGCTACCTATCTCATGTCAAAACAGCAGCTCAGAATTTTCCATTCAGCATATATGTTAAGCTTTTACTTTGGAAACAATAGCAACTCCATTTTATAAATGACACATACAATTCTCAGGCTTCAGCTAGTCCAGGGGTAGGCAACCTTGGCTCTTTTATGACTCGTGGACTTCAACTCCCAGAATTCCTCAGCCAGCCATGCTGAGAGGAAAGGGAGAAGTTTCCTAGCTGAGCCATGCTGGCTCAGGAATTCTGGGAGTTGAAGTCCACGAGTGATAAAACAGCCAAGGTTGCCTACCCCTGCCTTAGAGAGATCTATCCTGGTCTCTGAATACTGTTTTAGTTCTGCCCTGGATTATTTGTTAATCTAGTGCAGTGGTTCTCAACCTGTGGGTCGGGACCCCATTTGGGGTTGAACGACCATTTCGTGGAGGTCACCAAACAACGCAGTCCGCCATTTTCCCCCCCTTTTCCTTAGCTGTGCTACTCCCTTTTATTCTATTGGCTTTTGAAAGCCAATAGAATAGACTCTCTTGAATAGAGTCTAATTCTATTGGCTTTCAAAAGCCAATAGGAATTGTCCAGGCTGTCTCTGCCCTGCTGAGCCTGCCAAAAGTCCCATTCTGCAAATGGTGCTGCACCAGTTGAGTAGTCCTTGACTTACGGCCAGTTGAGTAGTCCTCGACTTACGACCTGTTAGGGGTCGCGGTATTAAAAAGGTTGAGAACCACTGATCTAGCGCAGGGGTCTTCAAACTTGGCCCTTTTATGACTCCTGGACTTCAACTCCCAGAATTCCTGAGCCAGCCATGCTGAGGGGAAAGGGAGAGGTTTCCAAGCTGAGCCAGGCTGGTTCAGGAATTCTGGGAGTTGAAATCCACGAGTCATAAAAGAGCCAAGGTTGCCTACCCCTGCACTAGGGCGTCTGTTCCCTCCTGGCACCTGCACAGCTAGATTAGAAGATCTTCGGGATCCAGAAGGGATCTGCTCAAGGCTTCTTCCCATTCATCAACCTGGCGCTCCCCCAACCTCGGTTGCACGGAAGACCCTGCCCCGCTTCTCTTTCCGTCCCGTCTCAGCCGCCGAGGGGACCGCCGACCGTCTGGAGCGGCTCCTGCCTCCCCACCCCCTCCGGGAGCGGCACTTCCTCGGGGTCCGCATCCCCCCCTCCCCGCCCTCTTCTCCAGCCTGAGGGAAGCGCTGCAATCCTCGCAATTCCTTCCGCGACTATTAGCGGCCATCGCGGGGCTTCGGTTTCCACCCAGGAGGGAGCCCCGCCCGGGCACATCAGGGCACTCTTCGCATGGGCAGAGGAACGCCGCCCGCGGACGCCCGGCGGAACAACAGGGAGTCCCGACTAGGAAGACAAGGGAAGGGGAGGGAGGGGGAGGACCTGAGGCTGCTAAGGGGCGGGGCTGTAAGGCGTGGGCGGATCCCAGGAGGAGAGCAGAAGACTCGGCCCCGCCTCTCCCCTCTCAGTCGCTGGATCTCCGCTTCCCTCCGCATGTCCCGTTTCGCCCTGGGAGGATCGGCGCCGGATCCCTCGGGAGAGGCTTCTGGGTCCCGCTCCGGACAGGTCTGGCTGCTCCCCCTCCGGCCTTTGGGGCGCCCCTCCCGCCAGGAGAGCTTCCCTCCCCGCCAGGAGAAAGGTAGCTGCGGATCCGCCTCTTCGCCTTGCCGGGTTTTCCTTGGGGAGATTCGGCTCTGGCGTCGCCTGCAGGGAGCGGATCCCTCCCTTCCCTCCAGAGGGGGCAAAGGGGGTCCCTCCATTCCCGGGCTGGATCTGCCCCGTCCTCTCCCGTCCCAGGATCCCCGCGGGGCTCCGGGTGGATCCGGAAAGGAGCTTTTGGGGAAGTTGCTCCAGAAGGTCTCTCTGTGGTCCGTCACAGCACGAGGTCTCTCGAGTATTCATATCGCGCACGTGCAGCACCAAAAATGTAGCAAACATTCCTTTAAAAGATTTAGTGAGATTTGTAATGTGATGTTGAAACGGACTGACCTCATTGCCATAACGAAGGGAGACTTTTGGGGAAAGAAAAAGGGTTAAAATTAATTGAATGGAGTTCATTGTTTTCTTAACCCACAAACATCCCCCTTCCTTTGAGTTCAATGTAAAAGGGGAAAAATAAAATCCTTTGTGTGTAGGGTTGTAGGACGAAAACGCAACGCCCCCTCTCCGGAAAAAGCCCCCTTTTTATAACAAAAGTCTTTGAAGAGATAGAAAAGCCAAAGTAAATTGCACAAGCCACAAAAGGTATTGAGTAACACCATCTCCCTCCACTCGTAGCTATCAGATAAATATTCTCCTGCAGACTGGCATGGACTTTAGCCTAAACTAAAGAAAAAGCTGCAATCTTGCGATGAAAGGTCTTGAATTCGTAGTTTTAATTGTTGCGAAGGCAGAAACAAGGAATGCAGCCTGTTAATTTGCAGAAGAATGTGGGGTTGTCTGAAGTGGGCAGGAGAGGCCATGTGAGTCCCAGCACAGGCCACATTTGACTTCAGGGGATCCTGGAGAAGTTTAGAGATGCTTTGGAGCACATGGCTTGGAAACATGTATGGAACATGCGGCTTGGAGAATGGCGCAAGGCTGCAAAGGCCTCCGGTCTGGGGATTAACACCTCATTTCTCAGTGACAGCGGTGATGCTGGGCTGAAATCCATTCCTCGGGTCAATAGCCACTGGCTGAAATGGCTGAAGGCCCCAGGCCTCCACTTAAGGACCAGCCCCAGGATGGCTGTCAATCAGGGATGCTTTTCATGGCCTGGATGGGGCAAATCAGGCTTCCATGGGTGGCTGCAGCTGTGCATCCCCTTCAGCCCCCCCAACTCATGAAGGAGGGCCTGTGCCTGGTCTCTAGGACCAGCCCACCCCCAGACACCCCCACATCCCTTGCCTGGGCCTTCCTCCACTTAAGAACCCTCAATATGATTTAATGACTGTAAGCAGGAGTGTGGGATTGTGCTTGGTGAGTGAAGTGGCCGTGTGACCCTCACATATCTCCTACTTCCCTGGACACACCAAGGTTCCAGTCCCTATTTTGGTCATAAGTTGACCTAAAGTTTCAGAGATTCTTTTTTACCTCATCATAGACGAGAACCAAGGAGGAAAAGATACAGTCAGTGGACAGCAAAAGAGTTTCCTTCTGAGGGATCTGGGGTGATGAAATCAATGGAGGTTTTGTCTGGGGTGTCCTGCGGACCTTTGCCCATGACAGAGGGTGGACTGGAATGGTCCCTTCCAAGGCTAAGACTTTGTGATTCTCTACCATTCTCAAAAGGAAACATTATTCTCCTCTTCTTTCTTCTTCCACCAGCAGGAAAACAACCTTGACCAAAGATTGACCTGCAAGTCAGCTGTCAACAAATAGTAGAAAATCAGCCCAAGGCAGCCAGTGCCAGAAAGGATGGAGCCTGGGAAACTCTTGGATCCCCTGTGAGACACAAGCAGCACTCCGGAAAACCACAAGAGAACCCATGAATGCTCAGAGTGTGGAAAATCCTTTGCTCGCCGGTCCCTCCTTTTGACCCACAGGAAGTTCCATGTGGGAAGCGGATCCAGTGAAGGTTTGCAGGGTGAGAAATCCTTCTCTGGAAAAGACATGAAAGATTTTAGAAGCCCTCCCAGACTAAAGCCCTATAAATGTGAGGAATGTGACTTATGTTTTGGTCAAAGGTCACACCTTCTTAGACATCACAAAATCCACACTGGAGAGAAACCCTATCAGTGTCTGGAATGTGGGAATTTCTTCAGTGAAAGAGGCAGTCTCAGAAACCATGAGAGAATTCACACAGGGGAGAAACCTTACAAGTGTTGGGAATGTGGGAGGACCTTTTCTTGGAGGGCAAGTCTTTGGGCCCATGAGAAGGTTCATGCTGGAATAAAATCGTACAAATGCTTCGAGTGTGGAAAATCTTTCACCCGGAGTTCATCTCTTCGGAGTCATGAGAAAACACACAGAGGGGAAAAAAACGAAAAGTGCCTCGAATGTGGGAAGTGTTTTACCTGGAAATCAAACCTGGTGCGACATCAGAGACTTCACACCGGAGAAAAACCTTATGAATGCCCAGAATGTGAGAGACGATTTATATATTCTTCTGAACTGCGGAGACACCAGAAGGGGCACAAAGGGGAGAAACCCTATCAATGTGGGGAATGTGGGAAAGGTTTTGTTACACAAAGAGATTTTCAGCTTCACGAGAGAATCCACACAGGGGAAAAACCATACAAATGTGGGGAGTGTGGGAAATGCTTTACCCGAAAAGAAAGCCTGGGAAAGCATCAGAAGCTCCACACAGGAGAGAAGCCATACAGATGTCTAGAATGTGGGAAATGTTTTGCTCAAAAGGGAAACCTTTGGTCACATCATAAAATCCATGCAGAGGAGAAGCCATATCAATGCATCGAATGTGGAAAATGTTTTCGACACAAGGGAGCCCTTTTGACGCATCATAAAACCCACACAGGGGAGAAGCCATATCAATGCTTCGAATGTGGACAATTTTATTCTACCACATCAAACCTTAGAAGTCATGTGAAAATTCACACGGGAAAGAAACTACAAATGTTTAGACTGTGGGAGAACATTTGCTCATTCATATTCCCTTAGAAACCACAGCCGAATCCATACAGGAGAGAAGCCCCATAAATGCTCGGAGTGCGATTCTCTTGGAAAGATACTCTTGAAGCTTCAGCGAATCCACACTGGAGAGAAACCATATAAATGCCTAGAGTGTGGGAAATGTTTTGCCCGAACTTCATCACTTTGCAAGAACACCAGATGTCACACAGGGGAGTCGCCTTACAAGTGTGCAGAGTGTGAGAAAACTTTTCATTGTAAATCTCAGCTAAAAATGCATCAGAGAGTCCATGGTAGAGAGAAACCCCTTCAGTTGTGAAGAATGTGCAAAATATTTTTTTAAATGTCATATCTTATAATTCACCAGGAACTTCACACAGTCCCAGATGGGAAATCCTACAGTTTTGTGGTGTGGGGAAACCTTCACAATCAGGAAACTAGTGTCGCAAGTGCATCATAAGGTCCATAACGGAGATAAATCTCTTCAATTGTGAAGAATATGAAAAACATTTTTTTTTTCAAAAGACACACTTGAATGTTCTCAAGAATCTTTAGACCAGTGGTTCTCAACCTTTTTAATGCCATGACTCCCAACCGGTCGTAAGTCGAGGACTACTCAACCGATCGTAAGTCGAGGATTACTCAACTGGTGCAGCACCGTTTGCAGAATGGAACTTTTGGCGGGCTCAGCAGGGCAGAGACAGCCTGGACAATAGAGCCAATAGAATTAGACTCTATTCAAGAGAGTCTATTCTATTGGCTTTCAAAAGCCAATAGAATAAAAGGGAGTAGCACAGCTAAGGAAAAGGGGGAAAAAATGGCGGACTGCGTTGTTTGGCGACCTTCGTGAAATGGTTGTTCGACCCCAAATGGGGTCCCGACCCACAGGTTGAGAACCACTGCTTTAGACAAGTTATAAGAGTGGGGAGTATATATAATGTTTTGAAGTGTACAGGAACTCTTTGACTGATGACCAAAACGGGGAATGCATTGTAAGTTGTTATAGTCGTAAGTCAAAGCACCCAGACGTTTTTGTTATTTTTTACTACTACTTTGTTGATCAATAAGGAGAACTGAAGATTTAGGGATGAATAAAATGGGTTTGAGATGTAGAAGGAAGTTGCAGGAAAATAGGAGTTTCTTTTTCTATTATGTTGTTTTTGTTTTTTTAAAAATTCAGATTGTATTTGTCATATATACACCCACATACCGTATCGTTACACATACTTTTATTGTATCTATGTTGAATCTGCAATTATAATCATTAATATTATTGTTCAAAATAATCAAGAGGACTGTTTTCAGGGCTTGGATGGGAGTTAAAAAAAAACACTTCAAGATGGCAGTCAAATTGCCCAATACTGTGCAGTCAAAGTCCCGCTTCTTTTTAGCTGTGCATGGGATGCCCTTTAAAACAGCTGCCATCTTTATTCTTTGGACTCCATCTTGTCTAGTTGGGCATCTCTGACTTCCAAGGTTGAGCTGAAAGAGGCAGCTTTTGGATGCACTTTAGGAAAAAGGTCTTGGTGATTTGGAGGGGTCCTTGCTCTTAAAGGCAGATCGTTGGTGGCTACCTACATGTGCCTGACACACTTGTGATTACTTGAACCACATCTTAGGACACATAGGTGACAGGAAGTGTGATTTTTAATTATGTAATCTGTTTGGTATGAATAGTTAGTTGATACCAGGTTGCGTTTGACGCAACGCAAAATTCAATCAGTGTGTGAGGCTAGTGTGTAGTTAACCTTAAAGTATTTATAATCGAGGGTCACATAAGCACTACACCAGGGACTGTGACAGACTACTCTGAGTCCTGAAGGTATCAGAATTAAAAATTGCCAAAGGTTAAAATAAAATATTTGCCATCCAGTTAAGAGGGAACAACAACAAAGTCTTTTAGCAGCTCCCAAAAAAGGCAGCTGTAGATTGCTGGGACTTTGAAGTGTCCCTGAGTGGTTGGTTCCCACCGTGGGAGACGAAACACAGGCGAGAGGTCCACAGCAGAGAAGCTGCCTTTATTGACCCAAGGTCAAAGCCCTTTCCCAGCCTCCGCCCTGAGGGTTGGATACGGAGGTCATGGAATGGATGAAGGCTGCAGAAAACCAAGGCTTAATGCTCCCTAGGAGATCCCTTCTTTGATTGACAGCCACAGTCCAGCCCAAGAATGGATGAGGTTCCCTCTCAACTGATGCTGGGATGAGTAACTCGATGTACTGAGACAACAAGGGGCTCTTTGGCCAGAGCTGGTGTGGGGACCTTGGTGTCCTCTGAGCTTGGTGGTTTCCTTGCAGACGTTTCATTACCCAACTAGGTAACATTATCAGTTCTAGATGACATTGTTAGCAATTATGCTGTTTCCTAGTTGGGTAATGAAACATCTGCAAGGAAACCACCAAGCTCAGAGAGCACCAAAGACCCAGCAGTTCAGCCCTGAGCTACAAATAATCCATTCTGGAGCTGAGACCTCTTGGATCCTGGATCCTTGCCCAGCCTGTTTGGTGTGATCCCCACAGAGAACAACGCAGGTGTCCAGTCCAGTCTCTCCCTTCAAACATCCTTCACAAAAGTTCCACAGTGAAGCAAGCAGAGTTCTTGTGTAATTGAAGAAACTCATTCTTCTTGACTTCTCTGTGTTTCTAGTAGAGCAGTGGTTCTCAACCTGTGGGTTGGGACCCCATTTGGGGTCGAATGACCATTTCACAGGGGTCGCCAAACAATGCAGTCCGCCATTTTTCCCCCTTTTCCTTAGCTGTGCTACTCCCTTTTATTCTATTGGCTTTCAAAAGCCAATAGTAATAGTAATAGTAATAGTAGTAAAGTTGGAAGGGACCTTGGAGGTCATCTAGTCCAACCCCCTGCTCGGGCAGGAAACCCTACACCATTTCGGACAAATGGCTGTCCAGTCTCTTCTTAAAAACTTCCAGTGTTGGAGCATTTACTGCTTCTGGAGGCAGCTGTTCCACTGATTAATTGTTCTCACTGTCAGGAAGTTTCTCCTTAGTTCTAGGTTGCTTCTCTCCTTGATTAGTTTCCACCCGTTGCTTCTTGTCCTGCCTTCAGGTGCTTTGGAAAATAGCTTAATTCCCTCTTCTTTATGGCAGCCCCTGAGATATTGGAATACTGCTATCATGTCCCCCCTTGTCCTTCTCTTCATTAAACTAGACATACCCAATTCTAGCAACCGTTCCTTATATGTTTTAGCCTCCAGTCCCCTAATCATCTTTGTTGCTCTTCTCTGTACTCTTTCTAGAGTCTCAACATCTTTTTTACATCGTGGTGACCAAAACTGGATGCAGTATTCCAAGTGTGGCCTTACCAAGGCATTGAAGAGTGGTATTAATACTTCACGTGATCTTGATTCTATCCCTCTGTTAATGCAGCCTAGCACTGTGTTGGCCTTTTTGGCAGCTGCAGCACACTGCTGGCTCATATTTAAGTGATTGTCTACTAGGACTCCGAGGTCCCTCTCACAGTTACTACTATTGAGCATGGTGCCACCTATGCTGTACTTGTGCATTTGGTTTTTCTTGCCTAAATGTAGAACCTTGCTTTTTTCACCATTGAATTTCATTTTGTTAGTTAGTGCCCAGTGTTCAAGTCTGTCCAGATCCTTCTGTATCTGAAGCCTGTCTTCTGGAGTGTTGGCTATTCCTGCCAGCTTGGTGTCGTCTGCAAATTTGATGAGTTCCCCATCTATCCCTTCATCCAAATCGTTGATGAAGATGTTGAAGAGTACTGGGCCCAGAACAGAGCCCTGGGGCACCCCACTACACACTTCCCTCCATATAGATGCAGTTCCATTGAGGACCACTCGCTGAGTACGGCCGGTCAGCCAGCTACGGATCCATCTGGTGGTGGTTCTGTCTACCCCACATTTTTCTATCTTGTCAAGTAGAATAGACTCTCTTGAATAGAACCTAATTCTATTGGCTTTCAAAAGCCAATAGGAATTGTCCAGGCTGTCTCTGCCCTGCTGAGCCCGCCAAAAGTCCCATTCTGCGAACGGTGCTGCACCAGTTGAGTAGTCCTCGACTTACAACCAGTTGATAGTCCTTGACTTACGACCGGTTGGGGGTCGCGGCATTAAAAAGGTTGAGAACCACTTTAGTAGAGTCAGCATTATATGTGTGAGAATATGGCTGTACACAACTGTATAATTGTGTTTTTTTTAATGACATTTTTGTGGTCATTAAGGAAGTCACTGCAGTCCTAAGTATAAATATATTCTTCAAGTTAGCATTTTCTGCAAAACAATTGACAAAAATGTTGCCCATTGTGACCCCATGTCTGCAAGATCTTGGTTCTTCATGGTCATAAAAGGGAGCCGATAGCCAAGTGCCCATAATTTAGTCACCTAACCTTGAGAAAGGGCAAAATGTTACAATGGCCACAATTGCTTTATGGCCATTGACACTTGTCACAATTTGGAACGGTTGTTAAGTGACATCGTAAATCAAGGACTACCTGTAATGAAACCCGGGTAAACCCTGGGGCAGTCGCAAAAGGGGGTCATTGTATAAATCAGTGTTTCTCAACCTTGACAATTTTAAGGCATGTGGACTTCAACTCCCAGAATTCCACAGGCTGTGGAATTCTGGGAGTTGAAGTCCACATGCCTTAAAATTGTCAAGGTTGAGAAACACTGGTATAAATGATTGGAAAGTTGCAAAATACAGATTTCACTGGGACCTCTGGAGGCCCCAAAGAATGCACAAGAAAAAGAAATTGTGCATTTGGTGGTCTGGGAAATATTTTTCTGGAATGTCTGCAGTAAAAATGCCCTGAACAGAAACCCTCCAGGTGCTCGGACTACTGGACACTCTTTCCAGGTGACAAACTGCATCATAGTTTGGTGTGTGGAAAATCTGTTCCCTAAAATGAGGGAATTGCCCTAATACAGAGAAAGCATAGAAATCTTTGTAGCATAAGAAAAACTTTTATCCTGAAATCTTTTCAGAAAACCCAAAGCGGTTCATAATTGTGATAAACTGAGAAAAAAGTTTCCCTGGGCTGAGGGTTATTAAAAGAAAAAGTTGTGATCCAGAGGGGAGAAAATATCCCACAGATGCCACTTAAGCTCTCTCAGGGTCTCTGTTGCCCCCTTATCCACCCTGCCTCCTCTCCTGTTCCCAGTGGAAGAAACCCCCAAGAGACCTGGGTGGCCAGCTCTGAACTGGGTTGGGAAATTCTGTTTAGGATTGTAAAGTAAAATTTTTAAGGTTTCATGGGTGTTTTGTTTCTCTGGGAACCGTATGGAAGTTTGTAATCTTTTGGAGCGGGATTTAAAAAAAAATAAAAAAAATTCAGTCTTTCGTGCATCCTTAATAAAAGCATTTCAACTATCCTACAGCATGTTGTTAATTTCTCCGAAATGCACTTTTCCCACATTGTTCACCAGAGTGAAAAAAACTTGGAAATTTTGTTTGCTTAAATGTTGCAGTGCTGGGGGGGGTCAGGGGAGAGGGAGGAGGAAGAGGAGGAAGAAAAAAGGGAAAGATGGAAAAAAGCTGTAACCCCTTTGCCACTGCAAGGAGCCACCTGTCTGTCCCTCCTGACCACTCCCGAGGACCCCTGTGGAGTGGGGGGGGAGACCCTGGAGGGACCCTGAAGGGACCGGATGGAGCCAGGACAAGAATAACGAAGAACATCTAAGTTTCCTTTAACCAGGGCTTATCCAGGTGCCCTTTTCAACTTCAGATTTATTTAACTGGAAGATTAATATCGGGTGAATCCAAAAGAGACCCCGCTTTATTAACCTCAGAATCTGATGTGGGCAAGATTGCCAGAACTGGCTGCGTCTCTTGTGACACACACGCACACATACACACACAGAGAGAGAGAGAGAGAGAGAGGAGGAGGAGGATGGTTTGGGAGGAAGCAAGGGAAAAGGCAGCAAAACCACTTGAGGGAAGATACACACACACAGAGAGAGAGAGAGAGAGAGAGAGAGAGGAGGAGGAGGAGGAGGATGGTTTGGGAGGAAGCAAGGGAAAAGGCAGCAAAACCACTTGACGGAAGATACACACACACACACACAGAGAGAGAGAGCGAGAGAGAGAGAGAGAGAGAGAGAGAGGAGGAGGAGGATGGTTTGGGAGGAAGCAAGGGAAAAGGCAGCAAAACCACTTGAGGGAAGATACACACACAGAGAGAGAGAGAGAGAGAGAGGAGGAGGAGGAGGATGGGAGGAAGCAAGGGAAAAGGCAGCAAAACTGCACTTGAGGGAAGATCCGGCCGCGGGTGTGGAGGAGGCGATGCCGGTAGAGACCCCCCCCCCCAAAAGTACCTGGAGGGATCCATAGGCAGGGGAAGGCAGAGGGGGGGACGGAGGGTGGCGGGTAAAGGCGTTTGGGGACTCGGCTTCTCCATCCCCCCCCCCGGCCAGGGAGGCTTCCCCGGGGAAGGGACCCCGGACCAGCCCCTCCCTCTCCGTCCTCAGTCGGGCTCCGCAAACATCCAGCCGGGGGGCGGGGGTTTCCTGTTGCTCCTGATACCCCCCCCCAAAAAAAAAAGCCATCGCGAAGCTTCAGTTTCCACCCAGCCCCGCCAGGGCACAGCAGGGCACTCTTCGCATGGGCAGAGGAACCCGGGAGGGGGATGCCCAGCGGAGAAACACGGAGCCTCGACTGGGAAGGCGGAGAGGGGAAGGGAGGGGGGAGTTTCTGAGGATGCTAAGGGGCGGGGCTGTAAGGCGGGGGCGGAGCCCAGGAGGAGAGTAGAAGCCCCGCCTCTCTCCTCCCACTCGCTGGATCTCCGCTTCTCTCCGCGTGTCTCACTTCGACCTGGCAGGATCGGCGCCGGATCTCTCGGGAGAGGCTTCAGGATCCCGCGCGGGGCAGGTCTGGCTGCTCCCCCTCCGGCCTTTGGGGCGCCCCTCCCGCCAGGAGAGCTTCCCCCCCCCGCCAGGAGAAAGGTAGCTGCGGATCCGCCTCTTCGGCTTGCCGGGTTTTCCTTGGGGAGATTCGGCTCTGGCGTCGCCTGCAGGGAGCGGATCCCTCCCTTCCCTCCGGGGGGGCAAAGGGGGTCCCTCCCCGGGCTGGATCTGCCCCCCTCCTCGCCCGGCCAGGGCTCCCCGCGGGGATCCGGGAAGGAGCTTTTGAGGAAGTTGCTTTCTGAAGGTCTCTCTGTGGTCCGTCTGAACAGGAAGCCTCTGAACATCCGTTTCCCTCGAGTGCAGTTTGCAAAAGGAGCGAAGTATAGTTTTAAAACATTTGTAGAGATTGTAATGTGATCTTCTTACAGCCTGACTTCATTTCAATGAGGGAATCGTGTGTGTGTGTGTGTGTGTGTGTGTGTGTGTGTGTGTGTGTGTGTGTGTGTGTGTGTGTGTGTGTGTGTGTTAGGAAAGAAATTGAATTGAGCCACTAATTGATTGTCAAAAATTCAGAATTCCCTCTTGAATTGACTCACTGATTGATTGTCAAAAATTCAGAATTCCCTCTTTGACTCTGCTGGACACTCCCCCCCCCTCATCCCACCCACTTTGAAAATTATAACAAAGAACAATAATTTCCATTCATTGTTAAATAAATACTTACCTTGTACATTATTGATTATGAAATATTATAAGGAATAACACATTGAATTGTTTAAATTAATTGTTAAAGGCTTACATAATTGGCAATGTTTTTAGCAATGCTTATAAACCCAGACAGCTCTGCTTCACTGCAGGCCAGAAAACGTTTTGGCCTTGCCGCCTCCAGAAAGGGCAGGAAGCGCCTTGGGGGCTTATCAGAGGCTCCACATTGGGGCTTCCAGGGGCCTCTGAAGGCCTGGCGAGTCTCCAAACTGGCCTGGAGTGTCACAGGTTCTTTATGACTGAACTGAGCTCATGTTCTCCCAACCCCAGAAAGGATACCGGAATAACAAAATAATGGAGCTGGAAAGTAACTTTGAGGCCTTCTAGCCCACCTCCCTGCTCAGGCGGGAGAACCCCTAACATTAAAGAGAAGCATTCTCCAGTCTCTTTTGAAACCTCCACTGATGTAGCACCCTGAACTTCTGGTGGCAGCCTGTTCCTCTGCTTAATTGTTCTGGCTTTCAGGAAATGTCTCCTAATTTCCATCCATGGCTTCTGGTCCTGCCTTCAGGTGCTTTGGAGAATAGGTTGAACCTCTGCTCCCTTGTGGCAGCCCCTTCAATATGGGAACAAAGCTATCATGTCAGATCCTTTTTCTTTCTGCTTAATCCAAAAAAAGAGGAATGAATAATCTTTGTTTATATACATACTATAAAGTTTTACATTTAGGCAAGAAAAAAACAAATGCACAGGTACAGTATAGGTCAGTGGTTCTCAACCTTTTTAATGCCGCAACCCCCCCAACTGGTCGTAAGTCGAGGACTACTCAACCGGTCGTAACTCAAGGACTACTCAACTGGTGCAGCACCGTTTGCAGAATGGGACTTTTGGCAGGCTCAGCAGGGCAGAGACAGCCTGGACAATTCCTATTGGCTTTTGAAAGCCAATAGAATTAGACTCTATTCAAGAGAGTCTATTCTATTGGCTTTCAAAAGCCAATAGAATAAAATGGAGTAGCACAGCTAAGGAAAAGGGGGAAAAAATGGCGGATTGCGTTGTTTGGCGAGCCCCGTGAAATGGTCGTTCGACCCCAAATGGGGTCCCGACCCACAGGTTGAGAACTACTGGTATAGGTGATACTGTTGACCTGGTCTTAGGGGACAGTATCAAATGTGAATACGTGGAGATGGCCACTTGCAGAACCATGAATGCAAGGTCATAAAAGGACAGCAAAGGAAACACCCAACATCCTAACCCACCTGGGAACATATTGTGTCTTGGGGAACACCCAAGCCACCCAAAAGTGAACATATGGTGGCTTAGGAAAACACCTAAACTACCCAAAAGGGAACATATGGTGCCTGGGGGGGGGAACATTCAAAAGGGATCATTTCTAGCTACTTCTGCTTTCTTCCTTCTTATCTACAGTGTGCCAGCCTTAATGGGCGAAGTCTTTATCTTATGTGTGTCAGCTTTGCTAGGTGAATTGCTTATGTAATCAAAGAAGGTAGAAAAATAAGGCTTTTCTGATATTTGGGGCTTTTTCGCTTTTTAGAGAAGCCCGTCTTTGTTCAGCTGAATAAAAATGTAAAGCTTGAAGGCAACCTCTGGTTTCCTGTATTTTTTATCAAGCAAAACCTCAGAATCTGCATAGCAGTACCTTGCTCAATAGTAGTAACTGTGAGAGGGATCTCGGAGTCCTACTGGACAATCACTTAAATATGAGCCAGCAGTGTGCTGCAGCTGCCAAAAAAGCCAACACAGTGCTAGGCTGCATTAACAGAGGGATAGAATCAAGATCACGTGACGTGTTAGTGCCACTCTACAATGCCTTGGTAATTGTAAATACTGCACCCAGTTTTGGTCACCACGATGTAAAAAATATGTTGAGACTCTAGAAAGAGTACAGAGGAGAGCAACAAAGATGATTGGGGCCTGGAGGCTAAAATATACAAGGAACGGTTGCTGGAATTGGGTATGTCTAGTTTAATGAAGGACGAGGGGGGACATGATAGCAGTCTTCCAGTATCTCAGGGGCTGCCACAAAGAAGAGGGAGTCAAGCTGTTCTCCAAAGCACCTGAAGGCAGGACAAGGATGGAAACCAACCAAAGAGAGAAGCAACCTAGAACTAGGGAGAAATTTCCTGACAGTTAGAACAATTAACCAGTGGAACAACCTGCCTCCAGAAGCTGTGAATGCTCCAACACAGGAAGTTTTTAAGAAGAGACTGGACAGCTATTTGTTTGAAATGTTACAGAGTTTCCTGTCTGGGCAGGGGGTTGGACTAGATTACCTCCAAGGTCCCTTCCAACTTTATTATTATTATTACTAATGTTTAGTTTGCTTTTTCCTGAAAAGTTGGGCAGAATCTCTACAAAGCAACATCTTCCTTGTTTTCCCTGAAGAGCTTGTGATGTAGAAGCACGTTGATGGATGTTTTACAAAGGACAAGTTTTATAGAGATTGTGAGCCTGGTCTTGTTATCTGATATCAGAACAAGGTGTAAATATTTTTCGAAATGCCGACCACAGAAGCCTTTTCAAGGCAAAGATTTTGTGATTCTCTATCAATCTCAAAAGGAAATATATTCTCTGCTTCTTTTCTCTTCCACCAACAGGAAAGCAGCTGTGACCAAAGATTTACCTGCAAATCAACTATCAACAGATAATAGAAAACATAGAAACGAAGTGTTTCACAGCAGGGTTTTTCAACCAGTGGTACGGGTACCACCTGTGGTACATTGGCACCTGGCAGGTGGTACGCAACCATCCTAGAAAAGTAATGGGGGAGGGGAATGAGCTGAACCGGTGGCAGCAGCGCACAAGCCTGAGCGAGAGATGGCTGGAGCTGCAGGGCTGTCAGGGCTCAGGGGAAGCGCCAGGATCAGCGCTTCTTCGGGACGTCAGGGCTCGTGGAAGCACCAGGATCAGTGCCATGCTCCAGCTGGAGCTCGGCGCTGATCCTGGTGCTTCTGCTGAGCCCTGAAGAAGCACCAATCAGCTGGAAAGCAGCACTGATCCTGGTGTGCCCAGAAGAAGCGCCGATCAGCTGGAATGTTGCAGCATCTCCATGGTCTTGTGATTTACATTCAGATGCTTGGCAACTGATTCTATTTATGACGGTCACAGTATCCCAGGGTCATGTGAAGTGACCAAAACCTGCTGCAACCACCCAGAAGACGGGGGGGGGGGAATAAAAACCAAACACCCCCCCACACCCCACCCCCACTGCCAATCCTCAACAGAAAAGTTCACAACAATGAAAACCTCGCACAGGAGGAAGAACGCCTCTGGGTGGGCAGGCAGATGTCTTGCTCGGCTGTGGCTTGGGGGGCACTTTTTTCAGTGCCATTGTAACTTTGAACAGTCATTAAGTGAACTGTTGTAAGTCGAGGACTACCTGTACTTTATCACTCCCCCCCCTTTTTTTTGGTCATCACGTTTTGACCCCTTGCTAGGCAACTGGTGGTACTCGGATGTTGCCATATCCTAAAAGTGAATGTGAAAAGGTTGAAAAGCCCTGTTTTACAGCACTCTCTGAGAAGTTTACAAATGTCAGCATCTTGACCCCAACAATTTTGTGATTTTCCATGTTTCTCGAAAGGAAATACTGTTCTCATCTTCTTTCTTGTCCCAACAGCAGGAAAGCAGCTGCCCATCGGTTACGGAAAAATCAAACCGGTCAGCAGTGAGGGTCATCCCTGGTGTTGATTCAGAGGGGGAACAACTGACCCAGAGATGTCTTAGCTGCAATTTTGATGGTGAGTAAACAAATCTTGGTTAAATCTTGTTTTGGAGAATAAGCATATATTTTTTAAATCTTTCTTTGAACAAAACAGCGATGCAATGAAATTGGGTTTCGCTCCGAAGGTGCTGGGTGAGGGCATAACTTAGTTCCATTAAGGCAGTGTTTCCCAAACTTGACAATTTTAAGGCATGTGGACTTCAACTCCCAGAATTCCACAGCCAGCAACGCTGGCTGTGGAATTCTGGGAGTTGAAGTCCTCATGCCTTAAAATTGTCAAGTTTGGGAAACACTGCATTAAGGAGTTGAGTGCATTTCCTCAGCAATTTATGAGTCCATCTGGGGGTGATGCTGTTTATCACACATTTTTCTGTCTTGCCAAGAAGTGTAGTGTGGTCTGCTTTGTCAAACGCCTTACTGAAGTCCACGTATAGTACCGAGTTTTCCGAAAATAGGCCCTACCCCGAAAATAAGCCCTAGTTTGGAGGCAATGCACACGCCTAAAAATCAAGCTAGGGTGGGAGAGGTGGGCTACTCCACACGCCCCACATTCACTTACCTTATAGGTAGGACCACCGCAGCCACCTTCCCACACCCCAATGCCTCGCGCCCCTGCTTGACAGCTTCAGCCTCTGCTCATGGCAGGAGGCTGTGTGGTGCGCCGTTGCTGCCGCTGGTGGCCATGTGCCACATGGTGTCCTCCCGCAAGCGGTGGCAAGCAGACGCTGAAGAAGTCAAGCCGCAGAGCGACCGGTGTCAGGGTGTGTGCAATTTTAATGGTGAGTAAATGGCTGCAGCTGTTTTAAGGTAAGACATCCTCTGAAAATAAGACCTGGTGCCTCTTTTGGAGGCAAAAAAAAACTATAAGACCTAGTCTTATTTCCGGGGAAACATGGAGATATGTCCACTTCGCTATTCCACTATTTTAGTCACTTTAGTCAACTTTGTCAAAGAGTTTTGTCTAGCACAGCGGTTCTCAACCTGTGGGTCGGGACCCCTTTTGGGGTCGAATGACCATTTCACGGGGGTCGCCAAACAACTCTCTTGAATAGAGTCTAATTCTATTGGCTTTCCAAAGCCAATAGGAATTGTCCAGGCTGTCTCTACCCTGCTCAGCCAACCAAAAGTCCCATTCTGCAAACGGTGCTGCACCAGTTGAGTAGTCCTCCAGTTACGACCGGTTGAGTAGTCCTCCACTTACGACCGGTTGGTGGTGGCGGCATTAAAAAGGTTGAGAACCACTGGTCTAGCATGATCTGTTTCTGACAAACCCATGTTGGTTTCTAGCAATAGCTTTGTTGGTTTCTAACTTTTCACAGATTCCTTGCTTGATTGTCTTTTCCAGGATCTTCCCAGGTATTGATGTCAGTCTGACTGGTCTATAATTTCCTGGGTCTATTTTTTCTTCTTGTAGTATTTTATAAAATGTACGTGTCACGAGGAAGCTGGGATCAAGAGGTTATGATGGGATGGAGCTCAGGGGTGAAAAAATTGGAAAAAGTGAGGAAAAAGGGAATCGGGAATGGGTTGCTTACACTAACCCGAACTTTCTTCCATCTTCCTTTGCTTATGTGATGCCTTAAATTGGGGATTCCTTATAGGTACTCCTCGTATTATGACCACAATTCAGACCGGAATCTCAGTCTTTGAGAGAAGCGGCCATTAAGTGAGATGTCACATGACCACTTTACTGAACAACTGCAATCCTGCCCTCGTGATGGTTAAGCTACTTCACAAGCCGACAAAGTCCCAGTTAAGGAATGTGGGGTTGCCTGAAGTGGGCAGTGGAGGCCCTGTGAGTCCTGGCACAAGAAATGTGGAAGTTGAGGAGGCCCTAAAGGATAGAGATGCTTTGGGACATGTTGCTTAGCAACAGTATGGAACAGGCGACTTGGAGAATGGTGCAAGGCTGCAAAGGCCTCTGGTCTGGGGATTAAGGCCTCACTTCTCTTCAGCAGGCTGAAGTTCAGTCCTGGGGTCAGTGGCAGATGGCTGAAATGGCTGAGGGCCCCAGTCCTCCACTTAAGACGCAGTCCCAGCATTGTTGTCAATCAGGGCTGCTTTTCATGGCTGTGGTGGTATAGCTCAGGCTTCCAAGGGTGGCTGCAGCTTTATATCCCACTTCAGGAACCTCCCCCCCCCAACTCATGGGTGGCCTATGCCTGGTCTCCACGACCTCCCCCACCACCATTGCCTGGTCCTCCCCCCACTCAAGAACCCTCAAGATCACTTCATGATTGCAACCAGCAGCGTGGGATTATGATTGTGGATCCAAGGGATCATGTGACTCCTCACCTAATCGCTGCTTCACTAAACAACTGAAATTCCAGTCCCGACTGTGGTCATAAGTGGAGGACATCTCTCCTACAGATGTAGGGCCTCCATCACTGTCTCGGGTGTACTGGGGACTCTACCCTGGGCAGAGGGTGGGACTGGAAGACCTTCAAGGTCCCTTCCAAGGCTGAGATTTTATGATTCTGTACCATTCTCAAAAGGAAATATTATTCTCAATTTCTTTTTTATTCTAACAGCAGATAAACAATTGTAACCAAAGATTTATCTGCAATTCAACACATAATAGAAAATCAACACAAGGCAGCAGTCGCCAGAAAGCATGGAGCCTGGGAAACTCTTGGATCCCCCATCAGACACAATCAGCACTCCGGAAAACCACAAAAACCCCCATGAATGCTCAGAGTGTGGGAAATCCTTTCCTCGTAGATCAGTGCTCTTTACTCACAAGAAGCTCCACATGGGAAGTGGATCCAGTCAAGGTTTGGAGGGTGAGAAATCCTCTGGAACAGACACCAAAGGCCTCAGAAATCCCGCCAGACTAAAACCCTATAGATGTATAAAATGTGACGTATGCTTTGGTCAAAAGTCAGAACTTCTTTCCCACCAGAAAATCCACACTGGAGAGAAACCTTATCAGTGTCTGGAATGTGGGAAATTTTTTTGTCACAAAACGACCCTCAGAAACCACGAGAGGATTCACACAGGGGAGAAGCCTTACAAGTGTTGGGAATGTGGAAAGAGCTTTTCTCAGAAGGCAAATCTTTGGGTCCATGAGAAGATTCATGCAGGAATAAAACCTTACAAATGCTTTGAGTGTGGGAAATGTTTCACCCAGAGTTCAGGTCTTCGGAGTCATGAGAAAACGCACAGAGGGGAGAAAAACGAAAAGTGCCTCGAATATGGGAAATGTTTTTCCGACAAATCAAACCTGGTGCGACATCAGAGATTTCACACCAGAGACAGACCCTATGAATGCCCAGAATGTGAGAAACGATTTATGTATTCTTCTGAACTTCGGAGACACGAGGAGAGGCACAAAGGAGAGTTACGCTATCAATGTGGGGAGTGTGGGAAAAGTTTTAGTTTCCAAGGAGAACTTCAGATTCATCAGAGAATCCACACAGGGGAAAAACCATACAAATGTGGGGAGTGTGGGAAATGTTTTTCACAAAAACAACACCTTGGAATGCATCAGAGGCTCCACACAGGAGAGAAGCCATACAGGTGTGTAGAATGTGGAAAGTGTTTTACTCAAAAGGGAGATCTTTGGATCCATCATAAAACCCACACAGGGGAGAAGCCACATCAATGTAACGAATGTGGACGATTCTATCGTACCTCATCCGCCCTTAAACGTCATGTGAAAATTCACACAGGGGAAAAAAACTACAAATGTTTAGAGTGTGGGAGAACATTTGCTGATGCGTCTTCCCTCAGAATCCACAGCCGAATCCATATAGGAGAAAAGCCCCATAAATGCTCGGAGTGCAATAAATGTTTTTCTCGGAAAGATGTTCTTGTGATGCATCAGAGAATCCACACTGGAGAGAAACCATACAAATGTCTGCAGTGTGGGAAATGTTTTGCCCATCCTTCGTCACTTCGCATACACACCAGAATTCACACAGGATAGTGGCCTTATAAGTGTGTAGAGTGTGAGAAACCTTTTTATTGTAAATCAGAGTTAAAAATGCATCCAAATGTCCATAGCAGAGATAAACCTCTTCCGTTGTGAACGTTGAAAACATTTTTTTTTTCAAAAGCCACATCTTAACGTTAACCAGGAATATCACACAGTGACAGAAGGGAAATCCTATCGTTTGGTGTGGGGAAAATGTTTTTCCTACTCAAGTAGCCTTAAATACCATAATCAAGGAAAACTACATAAATGTTGGGAGTGTTAGAAAGTTTGGCACACAAAGCAGCAGCACTAGTACCTTAACAGATTACACAAGAGAAAAGTGCTATAAGTGATGGGCAGAGTAGATAATGTTTTGCAGAGTGCAGCTAGTCTCGACTTACAGTCGCAATTGGGAACAGATTTCTGGTCATAGGTTGTTACAGTTGTTAGTCGAGGCACCCATATATATTGGAGCTGATTTTCTGACATATTTCTGGTCATTAAGCAAGTCACTGTAATCCTAAGTATAAAGCCATTCTTCTAAATGTCTTTATATATGTATGTATGTATGTATGTTGGTCTTTGGTTGTTCGGGTTTTCTCCCGTGTAAAATTGGAAGTGTCTTGCCGACGTTTCGACGAAGTCCCATTCATCATCTTCTGAAGATGACGAATGGGACTTCGTCGAAACGTCGCCGAGACACTTCCAATTTTACGCAGGAGAAAACCTGAACAACCAATGACCTACATACAAACACCCGCGAAAACCTCAGAAAACACATATATATATAATGGCAAAAAGAATGCCAGAAACTAGCAAAAAAACCAAAAAACAAATGGGATCCCACGGCTGTAGGATCATGAAAGTGGTCTTAAAAGCCATACGGTTGCCAAGCGCCCATAAGGAGGTTACATCATTTTTTGGCTTTTTGGGTGTGGATTGGGGTGTGTTGGTGGCTGGCTTTTAGGTTATTAGCTGTCACTATGTATGGGTACACATAAAATGTATATTCGCCTTCATTTGTGAAAATAAAAAACATTGAAAGCAAAGTTCTTGCCACTCCTATATTTCTATCAACGAAAGTCAAAGTAGATGGAAACTACTCAGATGTTCAGGAACTCTAAGAATATTTAAAAATGTTATTTTAAAATACTTGCCAGTGTTTGATAAATGGAACATTCTTCATTACTTATTCCTTTGGCTCGATCTTCATGCTTGCTAACAGGAAAAAGAAGCCACAGCCTGTGTTCCACTTAGGGCCCCATTTGGGACTGGCGTTTCCATTGTTAAATGATGCCATCATAAACCCCTAACTGCACTGCACAGTGATGACAATCCCTACAATCCAGGTTGCTTTCATTAATTGAATCCCACAGTCATTTGATGGGGCGACTTTCTGCAGGCTTCCCACAGAGTCAGTGGGAAAACTAGCAGGAAGTGGTGAGTCCCAGGTCCACAGCAGCAAAGCATCTCCTGACCTGTGTGAGGGCACAAAGAGTGTCCCAGATGATGGGAGAGGGTCAGGAAGGGTGTGCAACAGGCGTGGCAGGGGTGAGTGTGCGAGAGGGCAAAGTGCTCAAGAGGTGTGGCATGGCAGCAGGAGAGGAGAGACAGGACAGGGAGAGGACATGGGGGAGCAAGGGTCATGTGGGTCAGGATGTGGGCAATAGGGACTCCAGAAGTGGCTGGCCCAGCACAAGTGCAGAGGGGTTAGGGGAGGGGATCTGAGTGGAAGATACCTACCCAGCGACTTGCAGTCTTCCATGCCAGCTTCCCCTTTGACTTTCTGGGGAAGGCAGCAGAGAAGTTGGCAAATGGCAGTCATGTAAAGGTGCTGCTCTAAATGCTTCTAATTATTTTCGTATCTCAGAAACAGAAATATTTTGGACTGCAGAGTAAATAAAATTACATTCTATATACAGGAGCTTAAGGTTGTGTTTCTTGGGTTTTGGGTCCAAGGATTGTCTTGCCACAAGGAGGCTTGCTAGCATTCACTAAATGGAATCTTCCAGAGGTGAGTTTAGGCTGGCTTTCTACTCCCATAAAGTCTTGTGTGCTGGACTTGATGGGAGTTGTGATCCAACAACTCTGCAGCCAAGTCACCTGTTCTGAAGGCATCTAAAAGCATCTAAATTTTATAAAGGCTGAAGCTTTTGAAGAGTTCAGATATGTTTAATATATATATATATATATATTCAAAAGTTCAAATAAGAGGCCCAAATTGACATTATCATGGGATGTGGTGATGGGCTGGATGCCAAAAGAAAGCAAGTTTAGGCATACACTTCAAAAGAGAGAAGGAAGTCTGTAATTGGGGGGTTTGTCTGGTAAGAACAAAGAATGCTTATTCACAGGAAATATGCAGGTGTAAAGCTTGTAATAATTCTGGCTGGTTAGAGAGCTGATAAAAGCAACGAAGAGAAGCATTTTGCAGCCCTCAGCTAAAAGTTAGGAACAGGGATGGCTTGGAGCAAATAGGATGTGTATCAGAATATTAGATAACTCCTGAAGCATTCATTAGCCAAGGCTTAGGAATAGGGACAGCTAGAGATCAACAGAATAATTGTTAGATTATTATTGAAATGTTTATTAGATATTTCTTATATAGCCCTCCTTATCCCGCCTTCCTGCTCTTTAGAAGGCCAGATCCTGAAGTTGAAACTCAAATACTTTGGCCACCTAATGAGAAGGAAGGACTCACTGGAGAAGGGCCTAATGCTGTGAAAGATTGAGGGCAATAGAAGAAGGGGACGACAGAGAATGAGATGGCTGGATGGAGTCACTGAAGCAGTAGGTGTGAACTTAAATGGACTCCAGAAGATGATAGAGGACAGGAAGACCTGGAGGAACATTGTCCATGGGGTCGCGATGGGTCGGACACGACTTCGCAATTAACAACAACAACATCCCGCCTTCTGCTTTAGTGAAAAATGTATAAAGTTTCTTAATTCTATTGTTCGGGGTTCCTTGGCATTTTCTACCCAGGACCCTTTTTTTCTTGGAGCGCTTCAATAAAAAACAACAAAACCTGCAATTCGTGTCTGGTGTTCTTCATTAGCCTCATCACCAGGCTCAGACTACAATTGGGGACATTGTGGGGGGGGGGCTAGGGAGGAAGAAGGGGTCCCCTCAGGGCCCTACAAACAGTTTATAACTGTGTGAAAACGGGGCATCCCGAAGCCCAGCAGGGGATGGAGGGAAGCAGGGACCCAGCATCCCCAGCGTCTCTCTCCGATTCTTGGCAGAAGAGAGGGGAAGGCAGAGGGGGCGGTGGGGGGGCCCTGGGTGGACTCTCCTTTGCCCCCCCCCGTCTGTTCTCTCCTGGCCACCTGCGCAGCTGGACTTGGAGATCTTCGGGATCCGGAAGGGATCCGCTCGGGGCTTCTTCCCGTTCCTCCCCCAGGCGCTCCCCCAACCTCGGCCGTGGGAGGGGACCCCGGACCGTCTGGATCGGCCACTGCCTTCCCCTCCTCTTCCTTGGGGTCCGCCTCTCCCCCCCCCGCCCTCTTCTCCAGCCTGCGGGAAACGCCGCAATCCTCGCAGTTCGCTCCGTGAGTCCTTGGCGGCCACGGCGGAGCTTCAGTCTCCACCCAGATGCCGGAGCAGGCGAGAGCTCCGCCCGGGCACAGCGGGGCACTCTTCGCATGGGCAGAGGAACGGCGGACGCGGGTGCCCAGCTGAGGAACAGAGAGTCCCGGCTGGGAAGGGAGGGGAGGGAGGGGGAGGAGCTGAGGCTGCAAAGGGGCGTGTCTGTAACGCGTGGGCGGAGCCCAGGAGGAGAGCACAAGCTCCGCCTCCTCCTACTCGGTGGATTTCCGCTTCTCTCCGCGTGTCTCACTTCTCCCTGGCTGGATCGGCGCTGGATCCCTCGGGAGAGGCTTCTGGATCTTACTTTAGGGAGGTCTGGCTGCTCCCCTCCGGCCTTTGGGGCGCCCCTCCCGCCAGGAGAGCTTTCTACCCCCCCCGCCAGGAGAAAGGTAGCTGCGGATCCGCCTCTTCGGCTTGCCGGGTTTTCCTTGGGGAGATTCGGCTCTGGCGTCGCCTGCAGGGAGCGGATCCCTTCCCTCCGGGGGGGCAAAGGGGGTCCCTCCCTCCCCGGGCTGGATCTGCCCCCTCCTCGCCCGGCCGAACCTCCCCGTGAGGATCCGGGAAGGAACTCTGGGGATTTTGCTTTCAGAAGGTTTCTCTGTGGTCCGTCAGAGCACGAGGTTTCCGAGCATGCATATCCTCGCACGTGCAGTTGCAAAAATGGAGTAAGCGGAGCTTTAAAACGTTTATGGAGATTTGTAATGTGGTGTTAAGGCAATTGACCTCATTGCAAGGGGGAGGGGAAGGATTGGGGGAAAGAAAACAAGCTGAAATTGACTGAATTGAGCTCCTGTTTTCTTAACCCAGGTGAGATCCTCTTCTTTGTGCTCAGCTTAAAAGGCCAGCAGGGAAATTATTTGGTTTTATGCAAATGTTTACCTTGCTTCTGCTTTAAAAAGCTGTGTGGAATCTCTAAAAAGCAATATTTTCCTTTTTTGGCCCCGAGGAGGCTGGGATGAGGCAGCACCTTCTTGGTGGATGTTTTCCAAACATACAAAGTTCTAAGGAAGTTTTGAGGCTGGTCTTGTAAAGCAGGTAATAGAACAAGCGGATGGCTAGAAGGCTGCCTTACATAATTTTAAATATTTTTCAAAATGCCTATCCGAGGCAGCTCCAGAGACCTGGAATCTTTGTGGCCTTGCAGCCTGCAAAAAGTATAAGAAAGAGCAACCCCTTCTCACACATGCTCTGCCCCATCTGATCTCTCATTTCCCACTGAGTTTTCTTACTCACAACCATGCATTGGTCCCTGTTGGACTGTAGCTTGCTGGTTTCTTCCCTTTTGGCTCATCAAGATCTTCTTCAAATGACGATTCTCTTTCCATTATTTTGTATCCTCAAATAATTCCATATTCTCCTCCTGTTTCCAGGTCATTTATAGATTATGCTCAGCATCTGCGCCTTTCTCATTTTGCTTTGCAGGAGACTAGTGAGGATGTGGCCTTGAGCTCCACAGAAGAAAAGGGGTGTTCTTGGATCGGGACCTACAGACTTTTGACCCAGACTCCGTTCTAGAGAATTTGGAAATCGTGGCCCAGTTGGAGAAGCAACTTCCTACACAAACCAGCTTTGTTGGTTTCCTTGCTTGATTATCTTTTCCAAGATCTTCCCAGGTATTGATGTCAGTCTGACTGCTCTATAATTTCCCAGGTCCATTTTTTTCCCCTTCTTGTAGTATTTTATAAAATGTATGTGTCACGAGGAAGCTGGGATCAAGACGTCATGATGGGATGGAGCTCAATGGTGCCAAAATCAGAAAAAGCAAGAAAAAGGGAATCCAGAATGGGTTACTTACTCTCTTCCCTCCTCCCTTGCTTATGCGATGCCTTAATTTTGGGGATTCCCTATAGGTACTCCTCATATTATGACCACAATTCAGATTGGAATCTCAGTCTTTGAGAGAAGCGGTCATTAAGTGAGGTCACATGACCGCTTTGCTCAACGATTGCAGTTCTGCACTTGTGGTTGTTAAGCTACTTCACAAGCAGACAAAGTCCCAGTTAAGGAATGTGGGGTTGCCTGAAGTGGGCAGGGGAGGCCCTGTGAGTCCTGGCACAGGAAATGTGGAAGTTGAAGGGGCCCTGAAGAAGGTTAGAGATGCTTTGGGACACATTGCTTAGCAACAGTATGGGACATGCGACTTGGAAAATGGCGCGAGGCTGCAAAGGCCTCTGGTCTGGGGATTACGGCCTCATTTCTCTTCAGTGGGCTGAAGTCCAGTCCTGGGGTCAGTGGCATATGGCTGAAATGGCTGAGGGCCCCAGTCCTCCGCTTAAGACACAGTTCCCAGCATTGTTGTCAATCAGGGCTGCTTTTCATGGCTGTGGTGGTATAGCTCAGGCTTCCAGGGTTGGCTGTAGCTTTGCATCCCACTTCAGGAACCTCCCAACTCATGGGTGGCCTATGCCTGATCTCCAGGACCTCCCCCACCACCATTGCCTGGTCCTCCCCCCACTCAAGAACCCTCAAGATCACTTAGTGATTGCAACCAGCAATGTGGGATTATGGTTGTGGATCCAAGGGATCATGTGACTCCTCACCTAATCACTGCTTCACTAAACAACTGAAATTCCAGTCCCGACTGTGGTCATAAGTGGAGGACATCTCTCCTACAGATGTAGGGCCTCCATCAGTGTCTCGGGTGTACTGGGGACTCTACCCTGGGCAGAGGGTGGGACTGGAAGACCTTCAAGGTCCCTTCCAAGGCTGAGATTTTGTGATTCTCTACCATTCTCAAAAGGAAATATTCTCGATTTCTTTTTTATTCTAACAGCAGATAAACAATTGTAACCAAAGATTTATCTGCAATTCAACACATAATAGAAAATCAACAGAAGGCAGCAGTCGCCAGAAAGCATGGAGCCTGGGAAACTCTTGGATCCCCCATCAGACACAATCAGCACTCTGGAAAACCACAAAAACCCCCATGAATGCTCAGAGTGTGGGAAATCCTTTCCTCGCAGATCACTGCTTTTTACCCACAAGAAGGTCCATGTGGGAGGTGGATCCAGTCAAGGTTTGGAGGGTGAGAAATCCTCTGGAACAGACATCAAAGGTCTCAGAAATCCCGCCCAATTAAAACCCTATAGATCAGCGGTTCTCAACCTGTAGGTCATGACCCCTTTGGGGGTCGAATGATCCTTTCACAGGGGTCACCTAAGACCATCAGAAAAACACATATTTCCGATAGGAACTGAGACACCACTCCTCTATCCGTCTCCAGGAGGGTCCGCCCACTTGCAGATATGCCCACATACGAGTACCTGGCGTGATGACATCATTGCGCCAACCCATCACATACACCCCGTACAAATACAGGTGTATGTGACAGGGTTGGCGCCATAATGTACTTATGCGGACCAGTTACACGTGTAGAGAGCAGCTACTGTGTAGGGAGCAGCTGTTGTGTTGAAAGCAGCTACTCTGTGAAAAGCAGCTACTGTGTTGAAAGCAGCAGTATTGGAAGTAAAACGACACTTCATGAATTATAATTACTGGGTAAATGTAAAATCATCAACTACTGCAAAAAAAAATATATCTGTACCATGGGAACTTAATCTGGATGCTGATTGGTCTTTTTATATTCAGCTGTTGTTGATATGATTACTGCCTCCTTGTGGTAGTAACAGGTATGTAAAAAAAAAACAACACAGAATGGTAAATCATAGGAAACTTTAATGAACTGTCTTGACTGAACTATGCCATGTATCATCTTTTGTATTACTAAAGCTATTGTTATATATTATTTTCATTAGCAAACCATCCCATGACAATGGATCGTGTAGGGAAGAACGTTAAGAAAAGAAAATATTGTGAGGATTTTTTAGAGTATGAAGCTTCATATGTGGTGGCACTCAGAATCGCCAGAGCTATGGAACCTCACACCATTGCTGAGGATTTACTGTTGCCAGCGGCCAAAGACCTTGTCCGAACTATGATCGGAGACGAATTTGTGACGAAATTGAGTGCAATTTCCTTATCTAACGACACTGTCCGCAGAAGAATAGATGACATGTCTGCTGATATTCTTGATCAGGTGATCCAAGAAATTAAATCTGCTCCACTTCCAATATTTAGTATCCAGCTTGATGAATCTACAGACGTTGCAAACTGTTCACAGTTACTGGTTTACGTGAGGTATATTAATGATGGCGACTTTAAAGATGAGTTTCTTTTTTGCAAACCTCTTGAAATGACAACTACTGCACGTGATGTATTTGACACAGTTGGTTCATTTCTGAAAGAGCATAAGATCTCTTGGGAAAAGGTTTGTGGTGTTTGCACAGATGGTGCTCCAGCTATGCTAGGATGTCGATCTGGATTTCAACGTTTGGTACTGAATGAGTCACCAAAAGTCATCGGAACTCACTGTATGATTCATCGGCAAATATTAGCAACAAAGACGCTGCCACAAGAGTTACAAGAAGTAATGAAAAGCGTCATAAGTTCTGTCAATTTTGTAAAGGCAAGCAGTTTAAACAGTCCACTGTTTTCGCAACTGTGCAACGAGTTGGATGCGCCGAACAATGCTTTGCTATTTCACACTGAAGTGAGATGGTTGTCGAGCGGAAAAGTTTTAAAATGTGTTTTTCAGCTTCGTGATGAACTCAAAACTTTTTTTAATCAGAAAGCAAGACCGCAGTTCGAAGCACTTTTCAGCAATAAAAGTGAACTGCAGAAAATAGCTTACTTGGTTGACATCTTTGCCATCTTGAATGAGTTAAATTTATCACTGCAAGGACCAAATGCAACGTGCTTCGATTTGTCTGAAAAGATCCGAGCATTCCAAATGAAACTTCAGCTGTGGCAAAAAAAATTGGATGAAAATAAAATGTACATGTTGCCTACCTTATCTGCTTTCTTTGAGGAACATGACATTGAACCAGACGAAAGGATTACGATGATCATTTCTGTGAAAGAACACTTGCACGTGCTTGCAGACGAAATTTCATCGTACTTTCCAAATCTACCCGACACCCCCTTTGCACTTGCCAGCAGCCCATTCACAGTCGAAGTTGAAAATGTTCCTGAGACAGCACAAGAGGAGTTCATTGAACTTATTAACAGCGATGCAGCGAGAACTGATTTCTCTACAATGCCAGTTACAAAATTCTGGATCAAGTGTTTGCAGTCATATCCTGTTCTGTCTGAGACTGTGTTGCGCCTTCTTCTTCCATTTCCAACAACATCTCTTTGTGAAACAGGGTTTTCCAGCTTGTTGGTTATCAAGTCTAACTACAAAAATAGACTTGTTGTGGAAGAGGATCTTCGTTGTGCTCTTGCAAAGACTGCCCCGAGAATTTCAGATCTGGTGAGAAAGAAGCAATCTCAACCTTCGCACTGACGTTGGCTTTTTATGCATACTGTCGCAAAATGTAGCAATGTAGTTTACTGTTGTTATATTAAGACTGTTACCCATGCTACACCATGCTTCAAGACAAAAGTTCATTTATTTGTAATTAGAAATAAATATTTCACAATATATAATTACATATTGTTTTTGTGATTATGCTTTAATTATGTTCAATTTGAAACAATGAAAATACATCCTGAATATCAGATATTTACATTACGATTCATAACAGTTATGAAGTAGCAACGAAAATAATTTTATGGTTGGGAGTCACCACAACATGAGGAACTGTATTAAAGGGTCGCAGCATTAGGAAGGTTGAGAACCACTGCTCCAGAAGGAGTACAGAGAAGAGCAACAAAGATGATTAGGGGACTGGAGGCTAAAAATATAAGGAACGGAATTGCTGGAATTGTATATGTTTAGATTAATGAAGAGAAGGATGAGGGGGGACAGGATAGCAGTGTTCCAGTATCTCAGGGGCTGCCACAAAGAAGAGGGAGTCAAGCTATTCTCCAAGGCACTTGAACGCAGGACAAGAAGCAACAGATGGAAACTAAGCAAGGAGAGAAGCAACCTAGAACTAAGGAGAAGCTTCCTGACAGTTAGAACAATTAATTAGTGAAATAACCTGCCTCCAGAAGCAGTGAATGCTCCAATACTGGAAATTTTTAAGAAGAGACTGGACAGCCACTTGTCCAAAATGGTATACGGTTTCGTGCCTGAACAGGGGGTTGGACTAGATTGCCTCCAAGGACCCTTCCAACTTTATTATTATTATTATTACTAATTTTTAGTTTGCTTTTTCCTGAAAAATTGGGCAGAATCTCTACAAACAATATCTTCCTTGTTTTCCCTGAAGAGGTTGTGATGTAGAAGCCCCTTGTTGATGGATGTTTTACAAAGGACAAGTTTTATAGAGATTGTGAGCCTGGTCTTGTTATCTGATATCAGGTGTAAATATTTTTCGAAATGCCAACCCCAGGAAGTCCTTCCAAGGCAAATATTTTGTGATTCTCTATCCATCTCAAAAGGAAATATATTCTCTGCTTCTTTTCTCTTCCACCAACAGGACAGCAGCTGTGACCAAAGATTTACCTGCAAACCAACTATCCACAGATAATAGAAAACTTAGAAACGAAGTGTTTTACGGCACTCTCTTGAGCAGTTTACAAATGTCAGCATCTGGACCCCAACAGTTTTGTGATTTTCTATGTTTCTCGAAAGGAAATACTGTTCTCGTCTTCTTTCTTGTTCCAACAGCAAGAAAGCAGCTGCCAATCGGTTATGGAGAAATCAAACCGGTCAGCAGTGAGGGTCATCCCTGGCGTTGATTCAGAGGGGGAACAACTGACCCAGAGATTTCTTAGCTGCAATTTTAATGGTGAGTAAATGGCTGCGGCTGTTCTAAGGTAAGACATCCTCTGAAAATAAGACCTGGTGCTCTTTTGGAGGCAAACAAACCTATAAGACCAGGTCTTATTTCCGGGGAAACATGGGGGTATGTCCACTTCACTGTTCCACTATTTTAGCCACTTTAGTCACTTTGTCAAAGAGAGAACTATGTTTTGTCTAGCGTGATCTGTTTTTGACAAACACATGTTGGTTTCTAGTAATAGCTTTGTTGGTTTCTATGTTTTCACAGATTCCTTGCTTGATTATCTTTTCCAGGATCTTCCCAGGTATTGGTCTCAGTCTGACTGGTCTATAATTTCCTGGATCCATTTTTTTTCTTTCTTGTAGTATTTTATAAAATGTATGTGTCACGAGGAAGCTGGGATCAAGAAGTCATGATGGGAGGGAGCTCAATGGTGCAAAAATTGGAAAAAGTGAGGAAAAAGGGAATCGGGAATGGGTTGCTTACACTAACCCGAACTTTCTTCCCTCCTCCTTTGCTTATGTGATGCCTTAATTTTGGGGATTCCCTATAGGCACTCCTCGTATTATGACCACAATTCAGACCGGAATCTCAGTCTTTGAGAGAAGCGGCCATTAAGTGAGATGTCACATGACCGCTTTGCTCAACGATTGCAATCCTGCATTTGTGGTTGTTAAGCTACTTCACAAGCAGACAAAGTCTCAGTTAAGGAATGTGGGGTTGCCTGAGGTGGGCAGGGGAGGCCCTGTGAGTCCTGGCACAGGAAATGTGGAAGTTGAAGGGGCCCTGAAGAAGGTTAGAGATGCTTTGGGACACGTTGCTTAGCAACAGTATGGAACATGCGGCTTGGAAAATGTTGCAAGGCTGCAGAGGCCTCCACTTTGGAGATTAAGGCCTCATTTCTCAATGGCAGCAGAGACACTGGGCTGAAGTCCAGTCCTGGGGTCAGTGGCAGATGGCTAAAATGGCTGAGGGCCCCAGGCCTCCACTTAAGACGCAGTCCCAGCATTGTTGTCAATCAGGGCTGCTTTTCATGGCTGTGGTGGTATAGCTCAGGCTTCCAGGGGTGGCTGCAGCTTTGCATCCCACTTCAGGAACCCCCCAACTCATGGGTGGCCTATGCCTGGTCCCCAGGACCTCCCCCACCACCATTGCCTGGTCCTCCCCCCACTCAAGAACCCTCAAAATCACTTCATGATTGCAACCAGCAGTGTGGGATTATGGTTGTGGATCCAAGGGATCATGTGACTCCTCACCTAACCGCTGCTTCACTGAACAACTAAAATTCCAGTCCCGACTGTGGTCATAAGTTTGAAGACATCTCTCCTACATATGTAGGGCCACCATCAGTGTCTGGGGACCCTACCCTGGGCAGAGGGTGGGACTGGAAGACCTTCAAGGTCCCTTCCAAGGCTGAGATTTTGTGATTCTCTACCATTCCCAGAAGAAAATATTATTCTCAATTTGTTTTTCATTCTAACAGCAGATAAAAGATTGTAACCAAAGATTTACTGCAAGTCAACTATCAACAGATAACAGAAAATCAGCATAAGGCAGCAGGCGCCAGAAAGAATGAAGGGTGGGAAACTCTTGGATGCCCCGTCAGACACAGGCAGCACTCCAGAAAACCACAAAAAACCCCATCAATGCTCAGAGTGTGGGAAATCCTTTGCTCACAGGTCCCTCCTTTTGACCCACATGAAGGTCCATGTGGGAAGTGGATCCAGTCAAGCTTTGGGGGGTGAGAAATCCTTTTCTGGAAAACACATGGAAAATCTCAGACGCCCCCCCAGACTAAAACCTCATAAATGTGAGGAATGTGACTTATGCTTTGGTCAAAGGTCACACCTTATTACACATCAGAAAACCCACACGGGAGAGAAACTCTATCAGTGTCTGGAATGTGGGAAATTTTTTTCTCAGAAAGCCACCCTCAGAAACCATGAGAGAATTCACACAGGGGAGAAGCCTTACAAATGTTGGGAATGTGGAAAGAGCTTTTCTCAGAATGCAAGTCTTTGGGTCCATGAGAAGGTTCATGCAGGAATAAAATCGTACAAATGTTTTCAGTGTGGGAAATGTTTCACCCGGAGTTCATCTCTTCGGAGTCATGAGAAAACGCACAGAAGGGAGAAAAACGAAAAGTGCCTCGAATGTGGTAAATGTTTTTACCAGAAATCAAACCTGGTGCGACATCATAGACTTCACACCAGAGACAGACCCTATGAATGCCCAGAATGTGAGAAACGATTTATGTATTCTTCTGAACTTCGGAGACACGAGGAGAGGCACAAAGGAGAGTTACGCTATCAATGTGGGGAGTGTGGGAAAAGTTTTAGTTTCCGAAGAGAACTTCAGATTCATCAGAGAATCCACACAGGGGAAAAACCATACAAATGTGGGGAGTGTGGGAAATGTTTTTCACAAAAACAACACCTTGGAACGCATCAGAGGCTCCACACAGGAGAGAAGCCGTACAGATGCGTAGAATGTGGGAAATGTTTTGGTCGAAAGGGAACCCTTTTGACACATCATAAAACCCACACGGGAGAAGTCACATCAATGCAACGAATGTGAACGATTCTATCGTACCTCATCTGCCCTTAAAAGTCATGTGAAAATTCACATAGGGGAAAAAAACTACAAATGTTTAGAATGTGGGAGAACATTTGCTCATGCGTGTTCTCTCAGAAGCCACAGCCGAGTACATACAGGAGAAAAGCCCCATAAATGCTCGGAGTGCAATAAATGTTTTTCTCGGAAAGATACTCTTGTGAGACATCAGAGAATCCACACTGGAGAGAAACCATACAAATGTCTGCAGTGTGGGAAATGTTTTGCCCATCCTTCGTCATTTCGCATACACACCAGAAATCACACAGGATAGTGGCCTTATAAGTGTGTAGAGTGTGAGAAAGCTTTTCATTGTAAATCAGAGTTAAAAATGCATCTGAATGTCCATAGCAGAGATAAACCTCTTCCATTGTGAACGTTGAAAACATTTTTTTTTTCAAAAGTCATATCTTAACGTTAACCAGGAACATCACACAATGACAGAAGGGAAATCCTACTATTGTTTGGTGTGGGGAAAATGTTTTTCCTACTCAAGTAGCCCAGCACAAGTGCAGAGGGGTTAGGGGAGGGGATCTGAGTGGAAGACACCTACCCAGCGACTTGCAGTCTTCCATGCCAGCTTCCCCTTTGACTTTCTGGGGAAGGCAGCGCAGAAGTTGGCAAATGGCAGTCATGTAAAGGTGCTGCTCTAAATGCTTCTAATTATTTTCGTATCTCAGAAACAGAAATATTTGGACTGCAGAGTAAATAAAATTACATTTTATATACAGGAGCTTAAGGTTGTGTTTCTTGGGTTGTGGGTCCAGGGATTGTCTTGCCACAAGGAGGCTTGCTAGCATTCACTAAAATGGAATCCTCCAGAGGTGTGTTAGGCTGGGTTTCTACTCCCATAAAGTCTTGTGGGCTGGACTTGATGGGGATTGTGATCCAACAACTCTGCAGCCTCCAGGCAGGTGATCTGTTCTGAAGGCAGCTAAAGGCAGCTAAATTTGATAATGGCTGAAGCTTTTGAAGACTTCAAATAAGTTTAATATATATTCAAAAGTGAAAGCTTATTCACAGGAAATAGGCACCTGTAAAGCTTGTAATAATTCTGGCTGATTAGAGAGCTGATAAAAGGAATGAAGAGTTAGGCATTTTGCAGACTCAGCTAAAAGTTAGGATGCAAATAGGATATGTATTAGATAACTCCTGCAGCATTCATTAGCCAAGGTTTAGGAATAGGGACGGCTAGAGACCAATAGAATAATTGTTAGATTATTATTGAAACGTTTATTAGATGATATTTCTTATATATCCCGCCTTCTGCTTTAGTGAAAATGTATAAAGCGGTGGTGGCGAACCTATGGCACGCATGCCAGACGCGGCACTCAGAGCCCTCTCTGTGGGCACATGCGCCATGCCCTGGAGATGGCAACCGTCCCTCTTCAACCAGCCGCTCATGGCCAGATGCATCCCAGCACATTGGCCTCTGTGTGCGGGGGGGGGGGGCGATGGTGTCAGGCAGCAGTCGCCCCGGCCCCTGCCTCGCCTTGCCTTGCAACAATGGCACCCCCTGCCCTGCCTCACCTTACCCCATAGGACGAGCCTCCTGCCCACCGCCCCACCCACCAGAGACCCCCCTGGATCTCCCCCAACCCTGTCCGGCCCCCCATGGGAGTCCCTGCCCACGAACAACATTGAGGTGACCACGGCCACACATTCTGCCAAAACCACCACAGCCACGCCCACCCAGTGGGCCACGGCCACCCGGCACCCGGCAATAAATAAGTGGGTTTTGGGTTTGCAGTTTGGGCACTCGGTCTCTAAAAGGTTCGCCATCACTAGTATAAAGCTTTCTTAATTCTATTGTTTGGGGTTCCATGGCATTTTCTACCCAGGACCCTTTTTTCTTGGAGGGCTTCAACAAAAGACAACAAAACCTGCAATTCGTGTCTGTGTTCTTCATCGGCCTCAGCACCAGGCTCAGACCACAATTGGGGACATGTGGGGGGGGGCTAAGGAGGAAGAAGGGGGTCCCCTCAGGGCCCTACAAACAGTTTATAACTCACTGTGTGAAAAGGGGGCAGGGACCCAGCATCCCCAGCCCCTCTCTCTGATTCTGAGCAGAAGGGAAGGGAAGGCAGAAGGGGCAGTGGGGGGGCTGGGTAGACCCTCCAGCAACCGATGGAAACTAATCAAGGAGAGAAGCAACCTAGAACTAAGGAGAAACTTCCTGACAGAACAATTAATCAGTGGAACAACCTGCCTCCAGAAGCAATGAATGCTCCAACATTGGAAGTTTTTAAAAAGAGTCTGGACAGCCATTTGTCCGAAATGGTGTAGGGTTTCCTGCCTGAGCAGGGGGTTGGACTAGATGACCTCCAAGGTCCCTTCCAACTCATCATCATCGTCATCGTTGTTGTTGTTGTTATTATTATTATTATTATTATTATTATTATTATTATTATTATTATTATATGGGATGAGATGCTTTGGGCAGAGGCTTTTAGGAGAGGGGAATCAGAAGGAATTCCGGAAGGAAGGTGAAAGTCTGGCTGAACTGGGAGGAGAAGAGAGGAAGGACACGTTGACAGATGACAAGAAACTTGAAAATTATGTTTGCTTAAATGTGACAGCGCCCACTGGGGGGATGGGGGTGAGGAAGAGGAGGAAGAAAAAAAAGGAAAGAATGGGGAAAAAAAGCAAAGTAAACACCTGCTCGCTCTCTCCGTCCCTCCTGCCCACTCCGGAGAAGCCTTGGGGAGAGACGGGGAAGGGGAGGGAAGACCCTGGAGGGAAGCTGAAGGGACCGGATGGAGCCAGGATGAGGTTCACCCACCAGCAGGGAAGCGTCCTTTGACGGGGCTTCTCCAGGGGCCTTTCTCAACTACACATTTATTTCACTGGAAGAATAATACCGTGTGCATGCAAAACAGATCCCACATTATTGATCTCAGAATTCGATGTGGGCAGATTGCCGGAACTGGCTGCGTCTCTTCTGACCCCCCCCCCTCCAGAGGAGAGGATGATGGTTTGGAGGAAGCGAGGGAAGAGGCGGCCAAAATGCACTTGGGCGAAGATCTGGCCCCGGGTGAGGAGGAGGCGATGCCGGCAGAGACCCCCCCCCCCAATAACATTCCTGGAGGAATCCATAGGCTGGGAAAGGCAGAGGGGGATGGAAGGGGGGGGGTAAAGGCTTTTTGGGACTCGGCTCCCCCCCCCGGGCACAGCAGGGTACTCTTCGCATGGGCAGAGGAACCCGGGAAGCGGATGTCCAGCGGAGGAACGGGGAGTCCCGGCTGGGAAGGTGGAGAGGGGAAGGGAGGGGGGAGGAGCTGAGGCTGCCAAGGGGCGGGGTTGTAAGGCGTGGGCGGAGCCCAGAAGGAGAGCAGAAGCCCCGCCCCCGCCTCTCTCCTCCCACTCGCTGGATCTCCGCCCCCCTCCCCGTCTCGCTTCGCCTTGGCAGGATCGGCGCCGGATCCCTCGGGAGAGGCTTCTGGGTCCCGCTCGGGGCAGGTCGGGCTGCTCCCCCTCCGGCCTTTGGGGCGCCCCTCCCGCCAGGAGAGCTTCTCCCCCCCCCGCCAGGAGAAAGGTAGCTGCGGATCCGCCTCTTCGGCTTGCCGGGTTTTCCTTGGGGAGATTCGGCTCTGGCGTCGCCTGCAGGGAGCGGATCCCTCCCTTCCCTCCAGGGGGGCAAAGGGGGATCCCTCTCCGGGCTGGATCTGCCCCCTCCTCGCCCAGCCAAGGTTCCCCGTGGGGCGGCGGGTGGATCCGGGAGGGAGCTTTTGGGGAAGTTGCTGCAAAAGGTCTCTTTGAGGTCCGTTTGAACAGGAAGCCTCTCAGCTTCCCTTTTCCTCAAGCGCAGCTCCAAAAGCGTAGCAAACGGAGTTTTAAATTTTTTTTTGAGATTTGTAATGTGGTATTAAAACGGGCTGACCTCGTTGCGACAGCGAGGGGGGTCTTTGGGGGAAATCAAAGGTTTAAAAGTCTACAGGTATCATAGGTACCTTGCTCAATAGTAGCAACTATGGGTGGGATCTCGGAGTCCTAGTGTAAATATGAGCCAGCCGTGTGCTGCAGCTGCCAAAAAGGCCAACACAGTGCTAGGCTGCATTAACAGAGGGATAGAATCAAGATCACGTGAAGTATTAATACCACTCTACAATGCCTTGGTAAGGCCACACTTGGAATACTGCATCCAGTTTTGGTCACCACGATGTAAAAAAGATGTTGAGACTCTAGAAAGAGTACAGAGAAGAGCAACAAAGATGATTAGGGGACTGGAGGCTAAAACATATAAGGAACGGTTGCTAGAATTGGGTATGTCTAGTTTAATGAAGAGAAGGAGGAGGGGTGACATGAGAGCCGTGTTCCAATATCTCAGGAGCTGCCCCAAAGAAGAGGGAGTCAAGCTATTCTCCAAAGCACCTGAAGGCAGGACAAGAAGCAACGGGTGGAAACTGATCAAGGAGAGAAGCAACCTAGAACTAAGGAGAAACTTCCTGACAGAACAATTCACCAGTGGAACAATCTGCCTCCAAAAGCGGTGAATGCTCCACCACTGGGAGTTTTTAAGAAGAGACTGGAGAGCCATTTGTCCCAAATGGTGTAGGGTTTCCTGCCTGAGCAGGGGGTTGGACTAGATGACCTCCAAAGTCCCTTTATCATCATCATTATTATTATTATTATTATATTAACTTAATGGACGTCACGTTGTTTTAACCCACAAAAAAAGTTCCTCTTTCTTTGAGCTCAGTGTAAAAGGCTAAAAATAAAATCTTTCCGTTGTATGGTAATATTTACTTTGCTTCCGCTTTAAAAAGCTGAGTAGAATTTCTAAACTTTATATTCTTGTTTTGCCCTGAAGAGGCTGTGATGTGGCAGCCCCTTCTTGGTGGGTGTTTTTCAAAGCACCGAGGAAGTTTTGAGGCCAGCCTTGTGAGCAGGTAATAAAACAAGCCGATGACCAAAAGGCTGCCTTTTCTAATTGTAAATATTTTTTGAAACACCTGCCTGGAATCTTTGTGGCCTTGCAGCCTCCCAAAAGAGCAGGAAAGAGCAGCCCTTTCCACACGCATGCTCTGCCCCATCTGATCTGTCTCATATTCCATTGAGTTTTCCTACTGACAACTCTGCATTGGTCCCTGTTGGACTTCATCTTGCTGGTTTCTTTCATTTTGGCTCATCAAGATCTTCTTGAATCACGATTCTGTCTCCATTATTTTGTATCCTCAACTAATAATTCCACTTTCTCCTCCAGATTATGTTCAGCATTATTCTCGGAATCTGAGCCTCTCGCACTTCTCTTTGCAGGAGACCAGTGAAGATGTGGCTGTGAGCTCCACAGAAGAGAAGGGGGGGGGGCGTTCTTGGATTGGGACCCACCAACCTTTAGCCCAGACTCCGTTCTAGAGAATTTGGAAATTGTGGCCCAGTTGGAGAAGCAGCTTCCTGCACAAAGGGCCAATCGGTGTGGAGAGAGAAACTGGTCAGTGGTGATGGTCATTCCTGGGAAACAAGTGACCCAGAGATCTCTTAGCTGCAACTTTAAAGGTGAGTAAAGTCTTGATTAAATCTTGGTTTGGAGAATAAGCATATATTTTGTTTATAGCTTTATTTCACAAAACAGCAATTCAGAGAAATTGGGATTTGCAGCCAAGGTGCTGAATGAAGGCCTAATGTAGTTCCATTAAGGACTAAAAGTTGAGTGTGTTTCATCAGCCGGTCAGGAATCCATCTAGTGGTGATTCTGTCAATCCCACATTTTTCTATCTTACCAAGAAGTTGGCTGTGGTCCACTTTCTCACCTGCCTTATTGAAGCCCAACTATACTTTGTTGAGAGAGTTTCACCATTTCACTATTTTAGTGGACTAGATCAGTGGTTCTTAACCTTTTTGAACGAATCGCCCCCTTGAGCCAATGAGGAAGTTGTCATCGCCCCCCTCCCCCAACATAACCTCTCAATCACAACATAGGAAATAATTCTTCAATTTATGCAAACACTTTTTTTGTTTTCTTTAAAATTGTTCATCAGGACATATCGATGCAAATAATTTATTTCCAGTCTTTTCCCCATATCTCTCATATTCTGGCCAACGGTGTGCCACTGTATGGGTAGAGGCTGCTGCACAACACGCAGGAAGATAAGCAATGCGTATTTACATATGTACGGCGTTCTGTACTGAAGCTAGCTGGAGGAACATTTGAAAACACAATTCAATCCACTAATAGCGAGCGATCTGATGTTTTTGTACGGCAAATATACAGCCATTCACTGTACGAAAAAGTCTCAAAAGTGTCCCCAAAACTTCTCGCTCCATCGCCCCCATATCGCCCCCTTTTTGTTCCTTCGCCCCCCTGAAAAATAAAATCGCCCCCTGGGGGGCAATATCGCCCAGGTTAAGAACCACTGGACTAGATGACCTCCAAGGTCCCTTCCAACTTTATCATTATTATTATTATAAGAATGTAAAAAGAATGTATGTTAACACTTGATAAATATGGCGGTATATTTGTTGATATGTATGGGGGAGAGTTGGAAAAAATGAAAAAGTTATAAAAAAAGTCATGTCGGGATGGAGCTCATAAGTGCAAAAGTCAGAAGAAGCGGGAAAAAGGGATAGGAATCAGAAATGGGTTCTTTACACTGGCCTCTTTTCTTCCCTTTTGCTTATGCGATGCCTTCGTTTTAGGCATTTCACGTAGTTTGTCCTAGACTTAGGACCACCGTTGGCACTGGAGTCTTTGGTCACTGAGTACTTGGTTTATGAGATGTCACCTGAAAGCCTGGCTCAGTGACTGCAATCCTATTCTCTTGGATGTGGCTGTTAAGCAATTACACATGTCGTTAAGCAGAAGAATGTGGGGTTGTCTGAAGTGGGCAGGAGAGGCCATGTGAGTCCCAGCACAGGCCACGTTTTTTTTTAATAATTTTTTATTTTTCCAAACTCTCCCCCATACATATACCGTAATACTTATCAGATATTAACATACATTCCCTCCACACTCACATACAGATACTTTTAACAAAATGAAATAAACATAAACATAATTTTGGTGTTGCTTGCCCATTTCCCCTTTCACCGTATCCACACTCCTTCTTCTTTACCTTCTTTCTCCCTTTCTTCTCTTCCCTACTTCCCTCTTCCTCTCCTCTCCTTCACCACTCTCCTCCCCTTTCCTCTTCCTCCAACCTTCCTACTTCCTTCTCCCCTCCTTTACTCTTTTCTCTCTCCTCTCCTTTCTTTATCTCTCTTCAGATACAATTCAGGGGTAATGTCCGAGCAACTCCTCTCTCCAAATTTCCCTATCTGTATTATATACAATAAGATTAATACTTCTATTTATCTAACCTTCTTGGTATATACTTCTATAAACATTTATACAGCCTGCAGTTATTCAATACTGTGTCGCCTGGGTCTCCCTCCTTATCTGCTCCTTCTTCTTCCATCTAAATTGATGTTAACTATCTTTTAACTGTATTCTCTTTTCAGCCAATCATAAAAAGTTCCCCAAATTTCATAGTAGTCTGACTCTGTCTTATCTTTAATTGTCATTGTTAGTCTATTCATTTCTGCACATTCCAATATTTTCCCAATCACCTCTCCCTCTGGGGAGGCTTTCAGTGCTTTCCAATTTTGTGCAAACACAATCCTGGAGCACAGGCCACGTTTGACTTCAGGAGGTCCTGGAGAAGCTTAGAGATGCTTTAGGACACGTTGCTTGGAAACATGCGGCTTGGAGAATGGTGCAAGGCTGCAAAGGCCTCCAGTCTGGGGATGAATGCCTCATTTCTTAGTGACAGCGGAGATAGTGGGCTGAAGTGCAGTCCTGGGGTCAGTGGCCACTGGCTGAAATGGCTGAAGGCCCCAGGCTTCCACTTAAGGGCCAGCCCCAGGATTGCTGTCAATCAGGGATGCTTTTGATGACCTGGATGGGGCAACTCAGGCTTCCATGGGTGGCTGCAGCTGTGCATCCCACTTCAGCACCCCCCAACTCATGGCGGAGGGCCTGTGCCTGGTCTCTAGGGCCAGCCCCACCCCCAGACACCCCCACACCCCTTGCCTGGGCCTTCTTCCACTTTAGACCCCTGAAGGATTGTAACCAGAAGTGTGGGATTGTGGCTGTACGTGAAGTGGCCATCTGACCCCTCACATAATTACTACTTCACTGAATGACCAGCATTCCAGTCCCGATTTTCATCCTAAGTTGAGGACTGCCTAAAGCAGTGGTGGCGAACCTATGGCACATGTGCCAGAGGCGGCACTCGGAGCCCTCTCTGTGGGCATACGCCATGCCCCAGAGATGGCAACTGTCCCTCTTCAACCAGCCGCCCGCTAACTTGCCAAGGTCCCACCCAGTGGCCGGATGCATCCCAGCACGGCTGGTTTCCCTCCCCCGTCCCCCCTCCCCTCCTGGCTTCGCATTGTCTCCTTTTCCCGGACACGACCCATTGTATCACCCTCCTCAGCTGTCGGCCATCTGTCCAGCTCAGAGGTGGTTTCTCTAAACTTCTGGTGGCAGGCTGTGGAGCCCCAGAGTGCACTGGTCAAGGGATCGGCAGGCTGTGGCTGCTGACGGACACTGTCGGTCCCCATGCGCTCTCTGGTTTCTGTGTGTGGGGGCCGATGGTGTCAGGCAGCAGCTGCCCCGAGCCCTGCCTCACCTTGCACTGCGACAATGGCACCCTCTCCCTGCCTTGCCTCGCCTCACCCCGCAGGATGAGCCTCCTGCCCACCACCCCACCTGCCAGAGACCCCCTGGATCTCCCCCAAACCTGCCCAGCCCCCACAGGCATCCCTCCCCATGAGCAACATTGAGGTGATCATGCCCACTTTGGCCACACCCACCCAGTCTGCCATGACCATCACAGCCACGCCTACCCAGTGGGCCACATCCCCCTGGCACCCGGTGATAAATAAGTGGGTTTGGGGTTGCAGTTTGGGCACTTGGTCTCTAAAAGGTTCGCCATCACTGGCCTAAAGTTCCAGAGCTTCTTTTTCACCTCGTCATAGGATGAGGACCAAGGAGGAAAAGATAGTCATTAAAAAAGCAGAGAGTTTGCCCCCCAGGGATCTGAGGTGACAAAATCAGTGGAGGTTTTGTCTGGGGTGTCCTGTGGACCACTGACCATGGAAGAGGGTTGGACTGGAAGACCTTCATGCTCCCTTAGAACGCTAAAATTTTGTGATTCTCTACCATTCTGAAAAAGAAATATTATTCTCGTCTTCTTTTCTGTTCCATCATTAGGAAAACAACTGGGACTGAAGATTGACCTGCACGTCAACTATCAACTGATAATAGAAAATCAGCGCAAGGCAGCAGCCGCCAGAACTCATGGAGGGCGGGAAACTCTCGGATCCCCCGTCAGACACAAGCAGCACTCTGAAAAACCACAAAAGAACCCATGAATGCTCAGAGTGTGGGAAATCCTTTGCTCGCCGGTCCCTCCTTTTGACCCACAAGAAGGTCCATGTGGGAAGCGGATCCAGTCAAGGTTTGGAAAGTGAGAAATCCCTTTTTGGAAAAAGGGCCAAAGATCCCAGTAACCCCCCCAAACTAAAATCCTATCAATGTCAGCAATGTGGCGTATATTTTCCTCAGAAGTCCCACCTTCTTAGGCATCAGAAAATCCACACTGGGGAGAAACCCTATCAGTGTCTGGAATGTGGGAAATCTTTCCTTCAGATAGGAAGACTTAAAATCCACGAGAGAATTCACACGGGGGAGAAACCTTACATGTGTTGGGAATGTGGGAAGAGCTTTTCCCAGAAGGGCGGCCTTCGGGCCCACGAGAAGATTCATACCGGAATAAAACCTTACAGGTGCTTTGAGTGTGGAAAAAGTTTCACCGAGAGTTCGTATCTTCGGAAGCATTGGAAAACGCACACGGGGGAGAAAAACGAAAAGTGCCTCGAATGTGGGAAATGTTTTACCTTGAAATCATACTTGGTGCAGCATCAGAGACGTCACACCGGAGAGAGACCCTATGAATGCCCGGAATGTGGGAGACGATTTGTACATTCTTCTGAATTTCATAAACACCAGAGGAGGCACAAAGGGGAGAAACCCTATGAATGTGGGGAGTGTGGGAAAGGTTTTCTTACACAAACAGAGGTTCAGGTTCATCAGAGGATCCACACAGGGGAGAAGCCGTACAAGTGTGGGGAGTGTGAGAAATGCTTTGCCAAAAAGGAAAACCTTGGAAGCCATCGCAGAGTCCACACAGGAGAGAAGCCGTACAGATGCGCAGAATGTGGAAAATGTTTTGTAAGGAAGAGGAACCTTTGGAGACATCATGAAACCCACACAGGGGAGAAGCCATATCAATGCATCGAATGTGGACGATTTTATCATACTGCATCAGCCGTTAGATGTCATGTGGAAACTCACACAGGGGAGAGAAATTACAAATGTTTAGACTGTGGGAGAGCATTTGCTCATTCATGTTCCCTTCTACGTCACAGCCAAATCCACATAGGAGACAAGCCCTATAAATGCTTGGAGTGCAATAAATGTTTTTCTCGGAAAGATTCTCTTTTGATGCATCAGCGAATCCACACTGGAGAGAAACCGTATAAATGCCTGGAGTGTGGGCAATGTTTTGCCCGGACGTCATCACTTTGCAGGCACACCAGAACTCACACAGGGGAGAGGCCTCACAAGTGTGCAGAGTGTGAGAAAACTTTTCATTGTAAATCTCAGCTAAAAATGCATCAAAAAGTCCATAGTAGAGAGAAACCCCTTCAGTTGTGAGGAATGGGGAAAATATTTTTTTAAAAGTCACATAATTCACCAGGAACTTCACACAGTCACAGAAGGGAAATGGTACAGTTCACAATCAGGAAACCAGCGTGGCACACAGGAGACATTTCACAAATGCTTCAGCAGAAATCAAAATTTTATTTCTGATTTTTTTAGTTTTCATTTTAGATATTAAGATTTTGGAGTCCAGAAGAGAAGGAGGAAACTCAGTTTAGACGCCTCAGATCATACGAGGTGATGGAAATTGCCTTGTGATTCCGTTGCACCTCCCAGCCAGCCCAGAGCCCAGGACCTCCTGGTGGTCTCCCATCCAGCACTGCCGAGCTTTCCTGGAGTGGCCAAGGCTGGCCAGGTGTGGCCTCTTAGCTGAGACAAGCACAGTGAAAGGGAGGGTCTCTCTCTGGGTCTGACAAGATGGGGTTAACCAGTGGAACAACCTGCCTCCAGAAGCAGTGAATGCTCCAATACTGGAAGTTTTTAAGAAGAAACTGGACAGCCATTTGTCCGAAATGGTATAGGTTTCCTGCCTGAGCAGGGGGTTGGACTAGATGACCTCCAAGGTCCCTTCCAACTTTATCATTATTATGATGATTATTAAATATGGTGGGAAATAGATAACTCTTAGGAAATAGAATTATATTTAAATAGATAAAGTGTGTATTTTGGATATTATAGTTTGTTATGAAGTGAGATAAGGGAAATTTTGGTTACCCAAAGTCTGAAAATTATAAATATCAAAGGTTAAGTTGGAATATTGATAAGAAATTAAAAATTGAGTAAAAATCAATAAGAGAATATGGATTGTTTATGAAAATTGAATGTAATTAAGATATGTATAAGCTAAAAATTTATTGATAAATGTAATAATGATGTTCTTATTGAATTGATATAATTAGAAATGTACCAACCTGAACATGAGACAGTGATTGTTAAGAGAAAAAGAGACGAAACATTTGATGTTGTAGCCTGAGATTTGCACTAAGATTTTGTTATTGAGCTATTGATTAACTCAGTCACCACGTTGCTTTTTAAATATTCAAATGTAAAATTGGAAAATTAATAAAATATTATTTTTTAAAAAAGAAAAATGATATTTATTTCAGGATTCTGACAAAACCCACCACACACTGAACAATGGATTCAGTTAACGTCTGCAGCTTAATGACCGCTATGAAAAAAGTTGTAAAATTGGGTCCAGGTTACCTGGTGACCTGCTTTCCCATGGTCATGATCGTCGTAACTCGAGGACTGTATGTACCTGTGACCCCAAGGATCTCCACAATTGGGCGTCACCCCTTTGGGTCTTCAGTTGATCCCTTCTCACCACTCGAAACAACTCACTCTGGTGAAGACACTGAGTCTCGCGTCCATGGAGGGCTGCTCTTTATGTCCATTTCCCAATGTTTATTGTATCTCTGGTCCCAGATGCTGTTCCCAAGGGGGATCTACCCAGATCCCTTCCAGCATGAATCTTCTCCATCCAGAGAAGCTTCGAGTAAGGATTTGGCCTTCTATCAATTCTCTGGAGAGCAATCAGGATGGAGCTGCGGCTGAATCTTTTCCCGCAGTATTTATAAGGTCTGCCTCCCATGTGAATTCTCGGCTTGAGCAGGAAGACTTGGCTTCTCACAAGATTCTCATTGCAACCCAAACCATCATCCAGCTTCTCCACCTTGCGCAACCTCTGATAGCTTGTTCTTCAAGGGAAGGTCTTCCTGCTCTCTGGGCATTGATAGGGTGCCTCCCCCCCCCTCGGAAAGCTCTGTGCTGCCAAGACACCCCCTCCCCCCAAACTGCTTCTCCAGGCTCATATTCCATCACAGGTAGAAAGGCGGCGAAGGAAAGCAGATATTAACTAACCAGGATCAAAGTCTACAAAAGGAAGAGGTTGTTGCAAAGAGATTTAAAGTTGCTTGCCTGTTTTTAGAAAGGAAAGAAAAAATGCCACCAGGCCTTGAAGCTGGATCTCAGCTCCTCAAAGGGAGGCTAAATCAGGAAACAAAACCCTAAAGAATTATAGAACTCCCTTTTATTGACGGAGGCTAGAGGAACATAAACTTAAGATCAGAATATTCAGATATTCCCTGTGACCTTCTACGCAAGCGAAAATTGGACTTTGAAGAAGCAGGACAGGAAGAGGGTGGACAGGTCTTGAACTTTGGTGTTTGGGAAAGCTCTTGAGGTGATCATGGACAACCAAAAAAACAGAAACATGGATCACACAAGAAACCAACCAGAATTCTTACTCCAGGAATTAATAGACCAGGCTCAAACTGTCATCAATCAGAGATTGCCTGGAACAATGTTTGCTTTAAAGAAAAGGCTTTGATGCTGAGAAAGATGGGGGGAATGAGGAGAAGGGGGCAACCAGGGGGGTTATCCAGGCAAAGTGGTGATAGAGGATCCATTGGGGGACCTGAAGGATCCGGTTGGGGATAGAGATCATTCTGGAGAAGGTTTATCATGCAGTTGGTAGGAATCGACACAGATTTGATGACACAGAATAACCAAAACCTTTGGCCCGTTTCATCATACAGGTGGTCGTCTTACTACCACAATAGAGCCTAAACTTTTTGTTACTAAGCGAGATAGTGAGTTTTGCCCCATTTTAGGACCTTTCTTGCCAAAGTTGTTAAGTGAATCACTGCACTTGTTAAGACAGCGACATAGTTGTTAAATGAATCTTGCTTCCCCTTGACTTTGCTTGTCAGAAAGTTGCAAAAAGTGACCACACAACCCTAGGACACTCCCACCGTCATAAAGAGGAGTCAGCTGCCAATTGTCTGAATTTTGATCACGTGACCATGGGGATGCTGCAATGGCTATAAGTGTGGAAAAATGGTCATTGTTGCTTTCTTCAGTGCCATTGTAACTTTGAACAGACACTAAATGAACTGTTGTAAGTCGAGGACTAGCTGCACACTCTTTAACTTGTTTTTTGTCCATTTCAGTTTTTAGAAAAAGCTGATACCTTTTAGCCATTTCATGGTCATCATTTGCACATACAGGACTTCAGTTTCAAATTCTGTCTCCCAATAGGTTGTGTGTAATTCCAAGTGTCCTTTTGTACACTTTCAATCTTTCTCTCAACTCCACAGAGAAAAACTGTGTGAAATTAAATCCCTCTGCTGATCTCCTGACTTCCCCTTGTATTCTCCCACGTTCCTTTTTTCTAACAACTCTCCATAGGTGACCGTTCCCCTTTGCCTGCTCTTTTCCTTTCCCATACATGGCCTTCCTCTGCCAGGGCTTTCTCGGGCACCCGCCAGACTTACATCCCTTCCGTATTCTCAATGCATCACTTCCATCACGAGGATTGTTGAGGTTGTACCACATAAAAACCAAGCCACCCAAACTTCAGCTCCTGCTCTTGTTATTTTAAAATTCTCTTATTTCTCAGCAAAGCTCATTCTTTTTGTCCAGACCAAAGAGGCTGCAAAGGAGAATTTCCAAATCAGACTATCTCCTTTTCTTTGCATCCTGAAGAGTTTTAAATTAAACTCTTGGTTTTTCTCTCGGCATACAAACCTAGATTGCTTAAGGCAGTGATGGCGAACCTTTTAGATTCCGAGTGCCCAAATTGCAACCCAAAACCCACTTATGTATAGCTGGGTGGGCGTGGCCCATTGGGTGGGCATGGCCCATTGGGTGGACGTGGCTGCAGTGGTAACAGCAGACTGGGTGGAACTAAAAAGTTCAACCAATTCAGTTCCACCTTTGCGAGATCTTTTTTTTTTTCTCACAAGAAGTTGAAATTGATTGATTGATTGAACCTTTTTTTTTTTTCCGGCCTAAACCGAAAAGGTTTTGTACAACACAGCTCAGGGCCTAGGACTGGGGCGACAGCGCACGTGCCCACAGAGAAGGTTCTGCATGCCACCTGTGGCCCGCATCCATAGGTTTGTCACCACGGACTTAGGGTTACGTCACTATGAACTCGGAGAGCAAAAGGGGCATTGCCAACAAATTCGGAGTGCTTGGGTATAGTTAGCAGGGCACTGAGTTTTCTAGCCTGACCTATCTATCTTTCGTGGTAAAATACATGGGAAAATCCCATTGGAGGAAAACTCCACTTAGGGTTAGGTCACCATGAACTCAGAGAGCAAAATGGCCATCGCCAACAAATTTGGAGTGCTTGGGTATGGTTAGGAGGACACTGACATTTCTAGGTTGCCCCGCTATAGTTTCCTGGTAAAATACATGGGAAAATCCCATTGGAGGAAAATTCCACTTAGGGCAGTGATGGCAAACCTTTTAGAGACCGAGTGCCCAAACTGCAGACCAAAACCCACTTATGTATCTTTGGATGCTGGGTGGGTGTGGCCAATTGGGTGGGCGTGGCTGCGGTGGTAAGGGCAGACTGGGTGGAACTAAAAAGTTCAATCAATCAATTCTAACTTTGCAAGATCTTTTTTTCCCCTGCAAAAAGTTGAAACTGACTGATTGAACCTTTTTTTTTCTTTGCACACAACGGTGGAGGCCTAAAGTGAAAAGGTTTTATAAAACCCAGCTGAAGGACTAGGGCTGGGGTGATGGCGCCCTTGCCATAGGTTTGACACCCCTGGCTTAAGGGGTGCATCTATTATTTAGAGAGGTATTTTTTAAAACAGAAACATCATGAAAGTAGGTAATACATTCATTTTTAATCACAGAAATTCTCCCCAACAATTGTAATTTCCCCATCTTAACACATCCTTCTTGATTTCATCCCACGCCTTAACATAATTATTTTGATATACAATTTGTATTTTAAAATAATGCTCAGGTTTCTCACTCTTGCGTCATTTCTTCAAAACACTTTTTTCCCATCCATTCTATTTGCTCTCCCATTTTCATGCTTACTTTGCCATCTTTGTCTTTCAGCTATTCATTTTAAAACCAGCTAATGACCAAAACAAAAATATTAATTTTTCCATTAATATTTTTGTTCCTTACAAAAAAGTTTTCCAAAATTACTACAAAATTATCAGCAAATGCTCTTCTTTTC